ATCTAAGCACCACCCCAGCCACTAACAGTAAGGACAGATGGGACACACGAGGTTTTTGAGATGAATCCAGTGAATCCGTGGTGCCTCTTACACTAGACATTAACCTGGACCAAGGCCATCCTCCTGCTCCAGCCTGGTGCCGCCCTCCTGCGGGCTGCTGCCTGCCGTCCTCCCTGCTGTCTTGCCATCTCATGGCCACGCTTTGCACTGCACCCTGCCAGGGCACTGAGGGGATGAGGAGGCTGCAGTGGGCGCCTGTGCTGTGCCATTCCCAGAAGCTCAGGTTGGGAAAACGCCTTGGCAAGATATCAGCATGAACGATGCTTCATTTTCCATGTTTTTGAGGTCTAACCTGGATAAAAATGATCTTTTTCAGCTGCCAGACTCAGAGGAACGCCTTACTCTGTATTAATGAATCAGTGTCTGATATTGATTAGGGACTGCTTAGCGCTGTTTTGTTTGTTTGTTTGTTTGTTTTTGATTTGTTTTTTTTTGTTGGTTTTTTTTTGTTTGTTTGTTTGTTTGTTTTGGTGTCCTCATCCACTACTGCTAAATAATTACTTCATCCATCAAGTAGGAGCTATATGCTGCTAAGTAGCATATAAAGCATAGTCCTTTCATGAGAGAGCAGCATCCAGGGGATGAGGGATCTCAAAGCCAATTTTGTTCAGGTGCTTTTTCTAGGACATAATTTGACCATCTCCAGTTTGGAGATGTTAGCGTTGGAGATCCAAGGACAACTCCAAACTCCCTGTTTATGGAAGGCTTCCCATGGTTAAATTTTGAATCACTGTTGACTTACAGCCCTTTCCAGGCCTTTCCTCTTCGTAAGGGTGTTTTTTGGGCACAGCCTGAAAATAGGGCAAGAAAAACTCCAGTTCTTAGCAGGAGGTTGCAGGAATTATCTTGTCCTCAACTGTGACTCTGGAGCCAGTCTTTTATACATATTCAGGCCCCTTCTGGGATTTTGGCCATGTTCAAGCCCAGTGGATGCAAGACATACGAGAAACAATGTTTGCAGAAGACTTGAGCCAACCCAAAATCCCATGTCCACACAGGGCCAGAGCTGGGGAGAACAGTTTTAGGATCTGAATCCAAAACTGTCTGCTTTTCTCATCAACACTGGGAGAATGAGGAAACTAGCAGGCGGAAAGTCATGTGGGAAGGGTACAATATAAGATTAATATCTTCAGTTTAGTGATGTTTGGAGGAAAAAGCAGAACTGAAAATGCAAGGACGCAGCATAGGGGGAAGCTGGCTTTGTTTACAGGAATTTCTTCCAGAAAATGAAAACACAAGGGGAAGGAAGAGCCTTGCATGAGCTGTGAGTTAAAATGTGCTCATGAGCAGAACCCAGAAGTCAACTGTACCCTCAAATTTCTTGGAAACAAGGCAGCCAACAGGCCGCAGCGTGGGAGGCTGAGGTTGGACATCAGGAAAAACCTCCTCTGCGGAAGGGTGGAGCAGCCCTCCAAAAGTCCCCAAAGAGGTGGAGATCTCTTTCCTTGGAGGTTTTGAAGACAGAGCCCTAACCAACCTGATCTGGTGTTGGTGACAGTCTTGTTCTAAGTGGGAAGGTGGAGTAGATCCATGAAAGGTTCCTTCCAGCAAACACTTAAGTGAATCTCTGAATGGAAAACACCAAGGCCAGAAGGATCTGCAATGTCAGATGGGAGCCGGTGTTGAGGGGCAGCCACTTCTTACAGTTTCACTTGATGATCTTGAAGGTCTTTTCCAACCATAATGATTCTCTGATTCTTCCCCTACAGGCCAAGCTTTGGATAGACAGCACAGCAAGTCGTGGGACCTGTGGGGCGCAGCAAGCTCCGTAGACCACTCAGTCCACTTCTGCAGTGCATCTCCCCTGAGAGGTTTGTGGGCACCAGCCTCCAAAGCCAATCCCCTTTTCCCGCAGCCCAAAGATTGATTTCAGTCCCCTTTCCTCAGGGGCTGAGTGCTGTGAGGTAGCAGTGCTAGTGCATGTTGTGAGAGCTTCTGTCTTCCCATTACCCTGGCCTAGACAGCGCCTGGTATCAGACCCTTTGAAACAAATAGAGACTTTCAGGGCATTAAGTGTRTGAATCTCAGAGAACGCTCGTGTGGAGCACCTGCACCACCGCCCCTGGACTTCAGTCCTCGGCTTGTTTGTGCCCTTCCTCGCCGCACACCCGTGCCGATCAGCCCCGGTGCCAGTGGCGCTTATCCGCTGTTTACTGAAAGAGTTGGGTCCTGGTTCCAGGAAAGCAATGTATTTACCTTCCTTCTCCTTCCATCTGCCTGCTCCCACTCTCGGTGGGTGGCACCGAGATGTGTCCTGGGGTGTCCTTTCTGAGTACTGGGAAAGAGCTCAGATGCCAGAGCGCCGGCATCATTGCAAAACTGAACTTTGCTTCTTGCCCCCCAAGAAACCACCGCCCTGGCTCTCTCCTAAGCCATGCCCACAGTAAGGACTGCACATGTTTGGCAGCCTCCCAAGTGGGAGAGGAAACCCCTAATCTTTAAGTCTAGCATGATCTTTAGTCATTGCTGGAAAAACAGGTGAACTAACAGCATCCCACGTGGCATCCAGAGCATGGCCCATCCACACACACTGGGGTCACTCCTGGACACTTTTGCCCATGGCACAAGCCCTGCTCACCTAAGCAGCTGTTAGACCTTGGGCTGCTCAGGAGCCTTTGAGTCTGCTTCCACATCAAGAATGCAGGTGGGATGTCTGGTTATGAGAGAACCGAGTAAAAGGCACCCACATGGGTATAACCCAAGAGCAACACAGGGCCAAGCTTGGACAGCTTCCAAGAAATGGAGGCTTCTTTCCTTCCAAAGCTGGTCCTTGAGGCTGGGCAGGCCTTATGCTACCTCTCTACATGGGACTAGATTTCAGCTCCCTCTTCTCCAAAAATCTTCTCATCTTTTCCAAGATAAAGGGCACCTTCCTTGAAAGGATCCTGCAGCGCAGGGTCCCTCCTGGTGTGACCTGCATGTCTAGGCAGGACCTGGCATCTGGCTGCAGCTTGGTTGAGAGCTTAGTTGAGTTTTGGGCACCCATAAACTCTCTCCTAGCAGAGATTTTGGCCTCACTCCCTTGGCTCTCCCAAGGCTGAGCAYTGTGTTCATTTATCCGCTCCCCAGCACTTCTGACTCCTCATTTTCCTCTGACTTGTCCAACCCTTGTGTTTTGCTGATGAGCTGATGATCTAATGGAAATGAAACCTTCCCAACCAGTGTGTTTCTGGAGAAGCCTCCACGTGCTGTGTTGTACCAGGACACGCTGCTGCTGGAGCTGCAGCGAGGGTGTTTGCCAGCCTGGCACTGCGCTTCCCACCACGGGGAAGCCACTAAGCTCTTCAGGTGATGTGGCCACCAATCACTGCTGGAAGGCAGGCAAAGGAGCAGGTTCTGAGCACAAAATGGGATATTTCAGTAAGAATGGGAATTTTGCTTGCTCTTGGAAAAGTCAGATCAATTTCTGAGCCAAGAACTATGTTGAGAACTTGCAGCAGCAGACACGAGAGGAGGAATCACCCTGTTTGGAACAACCAGGTAGTTGKTATAAACCACTCCGGTAGCACAAGAGCCAGGATAGAAACCAGCAGGATTATTTCTGTGCTGGAGTGAAACCAAGATCTGCAGGAACTCCCCATTTCCCACCAGCCAGGAAACATGGTGCCGCTTTCGCTACGTGGGCCTGTGCTTTTCCACATGGCAATAAAACAGCAGGTGTTTGTGCTGCCTTCCCCCATTAGCTGCCGAGCAGCTTGGACTCTCACGCTCTGGTTTCCAGGCTCACAAGCTCGGGGACAAGAACCCAGTTGCTCATTTGGAGCTGGTTACATGAGAGTTTCTGTGCAGGACTTGTTCTCGGGGTAAATGAGGAAGGCTTGRGTTGCTTCACTTCAGATTTCCAACCAAAAAGAAGTGGCATTTTCAGCTGTGCAGTTGCAGAATTTTATTTCCTCAGCAAAAAGGAATCCAAAAATATTAATGGATATTTTCAGGTTTGTTTAAAAATAAACAAACAAACAAAAAAACCCACACATTCTTCCTTGCAGCACTTACTAACAATACCTGAGGTTAAAAAGCCAGCTGTTTCCATGAGTTGCCCAAATACCCTGTATTTTGCCTCACTGGGGAACTTTGCTTTAGATATTTAGAAGCTGAGGGCAAATATTTTATGTGCTGCTTCCTCCCGTGGTGTAAAACACAGCCCAGCTCCGTGGATTTCACTGCAGTGCCCCAAACTGCTTGCCTGGCGGATCTGAGTGAATCCATGCTCYTTCGCACGGCCGGAGCACGAAGCTTTGTACCTAGAAGCTTTGTGTCCCTAGCAGTGAGTGCGATCATATTAATTACTGCCTTGTGCTTCTTGTCACATTAGCTAGAGAGCTAATTGCACAAAGCACCATATGGAAGGAAAGGAGTTAAAATGAGTTCCAGCTTTAAAACCTCTGGCAGCCTGGAGCTGCGCAGCTCCGACTGGGTTCAATCCAAGGGGATATTCCAGCTCGTTCTCTCCCTCCATCCTGCAGCTCCACTGCAGCCCCAAGGGCAGCGTATCTGCCASGCAAGTCTGTTCCACCATCGGGCCAAAGGCTCCGTGTCGGCCCAGCTCGYGAGTGCCCAGAACCAGCGCTTCGGTTCAACGCCACGTGTGTGCTCCAGAGCCCTCCACGCATCACCTTGGCTTTAAGGATGGAACCACCTTTACCAGCAAGTTTGCACCTTGCACACAAGCACTGAGATGGAGAAAGCAAAATAACACCATGTTCCCTTGCTCAGGAGGGAAAAGAAGCAAGCAGAAAACCAACCCACCCATTCGCCTTCACTCTCCGGGTTGCAGGGTGATTTTGGTGTGTGAGTTTTACTGACAAAGCCCCAGAGCTGTCCCAGCCTTTGCTCGGGACAGRCTTTGCAATCTGTGGCCACCACTCTGTGACCTTCTGCTGGCAACGCCAGAGGCTCCAGCACTTCACAGCGCAGTCCAAAGCTGTGGGCAGTGCAGATGGCATCCTCAGAGGTTGCCTACGGTGAGACCTCTGGTGCATCTTCCTTGAAATCCTCATGTTCCTCATTCTCCAGCTGCTCCAGCTTGCTGGGTTTCTCATGGATGATCTCCCCAGGAGTCTTCAGAAATCTGCAGGGCATTTTCAAATGGTTTTAACTGCATGGCCAAACCCYGTCCCACCACAGCCTGTAAACGCTCAAGCCACTCTGTGCCTGCTGCCTGCAGTCTCCAGGCTTTGCTGAGTACCTCAGCTCTTGATTTACTTCCCAAATGCTCCGAGCCTGGGGCGGTGAAGTGCATTGCACCTCATCCCAGAGCCCAGCACTGGCATTTTAAGCTTAAGCTACTCCCAGGCAGGAATCCAGCACTGAAAATAGGGGGAGATTCAATGGAAAAAAAAATAAAAAGGAATTCCCTGCCTAACTCCACAAGAGCTCAGCACTGACTTCAGCACTCAGATGCTGTGGGATTTCTGCATGCGTGGTGGGACAAGGCTCCTCGCAGCACCATCAAACTGGGACAAGCCATGTTCTCCACCCCCAAAATACAGAAAGGACCCCGTGACTTCATCTTAGGTCTGGACCATCAAGGATCAAGTGAGATGAAGCAGCTGCCAACATCTGCAGGTTGCCAGTCACCCACCACTGCCTCATCTTACCTGAACAGCAGCTTCTGCCCTGGCTCCTTTTTGATGATATTGAGTTTGTAGTAATGTCTGAGGGCTCGTGACATCTTTTCATATGTCATGTTTACACGATTCTGGAAGGAGAAAATAAATCAGGGTTGGTCTGGGTTTTTTTGAGGGGGGTAAACCAAGCATAAACACCTGGGTTGGGTCTCTGTGCAGCAGCTTGGCCTGCATTGTGATGTTCTCACCCTCCCCTGTCCTTGTGTCAAAYGGAGCAAGTTGTGAGCAGAGGACACAAAAGCGACTTTTGAAAGCCTGGGAATGACAARCTTGGCCTCAACTGAGCTTACCTTGTGGTTCCCCCAGAGCTGGGCGAGTCCGTTGGGATTAACGACCCGGAAGACTTTGGCTTCCTTGTCTTCCCACCTGATGTAGGGCTCATAGCGGCTGTCAGAGAGGAGTTGGTAAACGTAGTCCCACAGTAACCTGCAGTCTGGGCACAGAAGGAACTGTCAGAGCCGTCACAGAGCTCCCACTCACCCTCCAGTGAGGGCTGGGCAGCAACAGGGCTCCTCGTCATGGCAATGGAGAGAAGAGCCAGCGCTCTGGTGAGCACATTCACTGCTAGATCTCAAAATGCATGGCACAACTAGCATTTCTCAGGGGGAAACTGASGCAGAGACACAGTCACTGAAGGGAGGAATAAATTAAAGGGGTTGACAGATAGGAGGGCAAAGTCAACGCAGCCCCAATGCCCCTAGGAGCCAGGCTGCAACTCCCTATTCACCTGCAATCTTCCCGTCCGCTGGAGCTGCTGGGGAGGTAGGAACAGAGCAGAGGGCRTCCGTCCTGCAGCTGCCCTCTGTGCTGGGGTGCGAGAGGTTCAGTGGCTCCTCGGCTCCACGGGGGACACCCGGGGACACCGGCTTGTCCCGCCTCGAGCAGCTGGGCAGGGAGGAAGAGAGAGCAGCTGGGGCAGCCTCTGCGCCGCAGTCCAGCCCTGCAAGAAAACCCCGGTGCAGAGGAGCAGAGCCTGGCACTGCCTGGCTGCCGTTTGCTGTCACTCCGAGCCCTGGCCTCGCACCAACCACATGGTGCTGCCCCTGGCAGAGCTGAGAGGAGGACATTCCCTGGGCACCAGGCAGCAGTGGGCAGCTGCGGCCACCGATGGCTTTGGCTGCCCAAAGGTGGCCCAGGAAAGAGGCTGTGTGCGCGCTCTGAGCGGGATAGGGGCCACAGCAGGAAGGGGGTCCAAAGCTCCTAAACTTGGTTTTGCAGAAACAAGGTGCCCAAACCAARCAGCTGTCTCCCAACACACAGCCCTTGCTGTGGGGACAGGAACAGCAYGCAGCAAGGACCTGCTCCCACCCCTCAGTCCTGCCACCTCCCTAACGCTCGTTCCCCAAACCTAACCCCTCACTTCTCTTTGTCTTCCATCTCTGCAGGGATGACCAAGCCAAGAGGACTCAAACACAGTTCCTCACGCCCACAACATCCCAGATTTCCAAGTCTTCTTGCTCAGAGAGGTGAGCTTCAAACCTTTGACCTACACAACCTGCTGGGGCTAAGGGCAGGCTCTGCCTGACACAGAGCTGCCTTCTCCATCCTACCTTCCACCATGCTCCTGGCCTCCCTGAAAGGTGAGTTCAGCAGGGGGCTGCACACCAGGGCTCTCCTCTGAGTTTTGATATACTGCAGGAGTTCATATAAGACATCACCTACGGGGGAAGGAAAGCATTGGAGTCTGTTCAGATGGTTATGTCATCCTGTGGTACTGTAGAAACACATAATCTGAAATAACAAAAAATGGTGATGGGTTTTATTTTTGTGCTGGCAATTCAAACCCTTCAGTCCCTGTTCTCTTCATCACCATCTGCTTCTTTCTTGACAGCTCTCTTTTACCGTCACATCTTGTCCCGCAGGGAAGTCAGACCTCTCATAAGCACATAGGGAAGGATTGATTTGCTTGCTCTGACTCTCTGGAGTTTTTCCCCAGGAAAAACTGATATGAGGAATCACTTCCTCATCACTTTCAGATGAGGAAACTCAGGTTTGTTAACTGCATTGCTGCAGGGACAATGGCAATGATCTATGGAAAGAAGAGAGTTGTCCCAGGCTCCTTCATCCAGCTGGTTAGGCCCAGGCTCAATCCATGTCTGCCAGGACCTGTCCAGCCCCGCTTAGCATCTCACAGCCCATGCTGGGCTCACTGTGTCCTTAGAAACACCATTCCCCTCATCTAACCTGAGCGAGGAGCTCTGTATCTGAAGTCATCCTTGGTGAGAATGCACAGGGCTTTCCCATTCATCTCAAACTTGCTCTCATCCGTTTGCCGAAGGGAATATTCCTTCTCAGCCCATCTCAGCCAGTGGATCACATCCTCCTTGCTCCACAGCGAGGGCTGGATTCCTGAAACCACAGGCAGCCTTTGAAGCACCTTGGTCTCCATCTTCAAACCCAGCAAAGGACTGGATGGGACACTAAGCATCTCCATCCCCAATCTCCCCCTCTTAAACCTTCACAGATCAAATTAGCCCAAAGACAGAAAACGGGATGTGGTGATGGGCCCATCTCATCCTCTGACCTAGACAGTGGGCAGTGGTCACAAGGCGGGGGACAACTGCAGCACCCACCGTGTCCCACCCTGTGGGTGCATCTGCAAGACACGCTGACCTGTTCATTGTCTACTCACTCAGCCTTCCTGGCAGCTTCAAGATTTCCCCCTCGTGGGTGGCTGTGCGTCTGGCCAGGACCTGAGGTGCAAGCGAAGCTGCAACAACAGGGCTCCAAGAAGCAACTGTCACTTTACCCTGGGGAAAAGAAACCAAGCATGTCAACAGATCAAACTGTCCTCTCCTGTCTCTTCCTCTCGATGCTTTGGGGACACCTCCACCACAATAAACCTTGTCCAAATGGCTTCTAGCTTATTCCTCGGAGCAGCTTGATGCACTTTAAAGCAGCTCAGGGCCGGCTGGTCACTGTAAGTAAATCACGAGGAGAAACCCATATCTAGAGATAAAGTTGGTGACTCAGTTTGCAGTGGGGCTGGGTGCCCCTCATGCTGAATCAGTGCCACCCCGGCTGCCTACTATTGCAATGGAGACAGTGGCAGTTCCTGGAAGTGCCACCTCAGCTTCCTGAATGAGGTGGAAACGACAACCACRGCGCACAGGGCAAGTTAGAGAAAGAAGGGATCAACTTAGCTACTAGCTAAGCTATTATCCTTATAGCTAAATCTTTTTTTTAAGATAAAGATAAGAAGCTGAATCTTTCCTGGACTAAATCTGAGGGTCTTGAGTTTTTCTTCAACAGAAGAACCACTATTAACACTCTTGTGGTATAAACATAGTTAGCTGGTATGGGATCTGGGTTGTTTATTAGCTCTAATGAAGCAATCCACTTCTTAACAACTTAGGAGGAACACATAAGCTCTGAGCRGACTTGCCAGCAGCGCAACCCACATTTCAGATTCATTCTAAGCGATAGGTACAAGAAAAATAAAAGTGAAAGAAATCAGTAGTGTATTTAGTCTATAACTCTCCCCATAAAGACATTGTATGGTTTTCCGCTGCCTTCACTCTGCTACCAAAAGATTTTTTTGTAAAAATGATCCAGGATGTTGACTAGCTTTCCTGCTCCTATAGATTTCTAGGAATTTAGGGAGAACTCTAAACCCTTGTGCCTTCGCACCGTTTTTTATTTATTTATTTATTTATTTCCCCTCCTGCTTAGCCACCTCCACTCTTGTTTCTCAGACAAAAATACGTCCTAGTCTCAAGAGGAAATTTTGTGCTTGGAGGGTTTAGCGGGAGAAGCTGGAGACCAGCAGGGTCCAAAGCAGGGCGGGTGGGAGCCGGCGCTGGCACCGGGCCCCACGCCGGGCTGGGGGCTCTTACCTGCATCCCCGCTGTCCCGGAGCTGCGCCCGGGGCCGGCACTATCCCGGTCCCGGCACTATTCCGATCCTGGCGCTATCCCCGTCCCGGCACTACGGCGATCCCGGCGCTATCCCTGTCCCGACGCTGTCCCCGGTGCTCGCCGCCTCCCCGGGTGCCCGGCGCTGTCCCCGGTGCCAGTAGCGCCCGGCGCGGGCACGTCCCGACCGTGCGGCCGCCCCCGGGACCTTCCCATCCTTCCAGGAAACGAAATCGAAAGGAGCCGGAGCGCGGGGCAGGCGGCGGCCCGGCCCCCCGCCCGGCCCCGCTTCTCCAGGGGCCGCCGGGCGCCGGGCACCGGGCCGCGCTCCCCGTGCTCGCCGCGCGGCGGGGCCGCACGGGCCCAGCGGCACCGGGACACRCGGCTCGAGTGCCCGAGGCAGCGCTGGGGGCTCCGTGCAGCGGGAAGGGCCCGGGGCAGCCTCCAACCCAGCGTGTCCCCTCGTCCTCCCCGCGGTTTTTCCTCGCCCACTCCTGCATCCCATGCTCCTTCCCTCGGCTCCAGGCCAGTCCCGAATGGACCAGGCCACGACGGCCGGTAACGACCCGGTAACTGCCTCGAGTGCGGATCCCCTGCTCCCCACGGCCTCCTTGCAGAGCCCCCGAAATGGCTCTGGGGCCGGAGTAACCCCCAGCCCGCGGCGGGACGCGGCGCTTGTGGCCGAGCGGGACCGCGCTGGGRCCCGGGAGCACGTGGGGGGTCCCCGGAGGGGACGGGGGTGGAGGGCTGCACGCGGGCAGCACGAGCCCGGGTCCAGATGTGCCCGGTGGTGCCTGGCGGTGCCCGGCAGTGCCCAAACGTGCCCAGTGGTGCCCAGTGGTGCCCAGCGGTGCCCAGATGTGCCCGGCAGTGCCCAGAGGGGCCCAGCGGTGCCCAGGGGTGCCCAGCAGTGCCCAGAGGTGTCCAGCTGGGCCCAGCAGTGCACAAATGTGCCCAGAGGTGCCTGGCAGTGCCCAGATGTGCCTAACAGTGCCCAGATGTGCCCGGCAGTGCCCAGACATGCCCGGAGGTGCCTGGCAGTGCCCAGCGGGGCCCAGATGTGCCCGGCAAGACCCGGCAGTGCTTAGTGGTGCCCAGCGGAGTCCCGCAATGCCCAAACGTGCCCAGCGGTGCCCAGCGGTGCCCAGATGTGCCCGGCGGGGCCCGGCGGGCCCGCCCCCTTCTCCTGCCCCGCCTCTCCTCCCCGCCCACCCCGCATTGGCCCCGCCYATCGCCCCGTCGCCGCCTCCCTCCCCCACCCGCGTTGCTCATTGGCTCGTCGCCGCGCCAATCGGGTGGCGGCGCGGCAGGGGTGGGGCCTGGCGCCGGGGCCCCGCCCTCCGCCCGCCGGAAGCGGCGGCGTCGCCGGGGACGCGGAGCGCGGCCTCCAAGGTGGGCGAGGGGCCTGGGCCTCCTTCCCCCCTCCCGGGGGGCGTCGCGGGGTGCGGGCCCCGACCGGGGGGACTCAGGGGCCCTTCCTGCTTTCCGCGGCCGTTTGGGGCCTGGGAGGGCCCTTCCGCGGGCCTCGGGGCCTTCCCGGCCATGCAGGGCCTTTCCTCTCCCCCATTTTGGGGGGCCGGGCGGCCATTTTGGGGGTGCGGGCGGCTGAGGGGAGCTCTCTCCGCCGCCGAGTGCTCTGAGGGGAGTTTGGCTTTCCAGGAGGCCCCGGTTACTCCGCTGGGGGCCGCATGGAGCCGGGGAGGGGGGTTCGCCGCTCCCTGTGGGCCTTGGGGGTGTCCTTGGGGCGCTCTGCTCTTAGGGGGGCCATGTCCTGCCGTGTTGTGGCCTCCTTGTTGTTGCCGAGTGCCGTTCAAGGCCGGGGTCTCCCTCCGTTTCCCCTCCCTGCTGGGCTGCTTGGCGAAGGGCGGCAGCTCCTGGGGATGCTGGGCCCTGGCCCTGCTCCTTGGGGACCTTTCCCTGCTCGGCAAGGGGTGATGGCAACACTGCCCGCCCCTGCGCACGCCGCCTGGCAGGGTAAATCCTCAGAGCGACCGTGCCAGCATTGCTGTAAAAACCTCTGGAAAGGTAGGTTAAAGATTAAGAAAGCAATACTTGTACTGGCCTAGGCCTATTTTCTATAACAACATCCCTGTTAGAAGGTGCCTTTATAGTTGAAATGAGCAGTTTTATTACAGCTGTGCTGGTTAGCAGGGAAGCCTGTGTGGAAGACACTGCCCAGACTTATTGCAGATCRTCTTAAAGCATTTATGGACGGGCTGAAGTAGGTCATGTCCTAAAGAAATAGGTGTATGCTGAGGTGGTTGACCTGATGTGTGTTTTAAAACGGCCTATCTGCGGCGTGTGGGGCGGTTTTGATCTCTTTCGGTGCTGTCTTCTGCTGCTAGTGTTAAAGTGGTTTTTTTCTGTTTGGAGCTTGAAAAGAACGACCTTCCTGGGTCAGAAGTCGCTCCATATATATGTTTGTTTGAAGCTTTCTCTTTTGTAGTTGCTCTGTATGAATCTGGGTGCATTCCAGTGGGCCTGGTTGAGCCCCAGGTGTCTGCTTGGAAGAAGCCAAAGCAAAAAGGACCAAAATTGTTGTTTAAACAAAACTTGACAGTGCTGAGAAGCAAGTCTTGGCAAACACATTTGGGCTCTTTGCCATGGACTGCACGTACCTGCGAGCAAGGAGAACGTTAGGTTTTTCTCTGCAGTTGTTTTATGATATTTCTGAGTGGAAAGTGATATGCTAAGCCCATAGCCTCCAAAAAAAAGATTAAACCTCATCTGCAGCATAAATCAGTTAGGATCTTTGATCATGATTTTGCTAAAGGAGACACATTATGCAGTTCAGTTTGGATCTGTGGAGTGTAAAATGAATGAATACAAAACACTTGGCTTTTTCCGTTCCCTAAGGTGAGCCTTGTCCAGCAGTAGTCTCCCTTTCCTGGGCCCAAACTTATTTTTGACTGTCGGAATTGAGAAACTGGCTTATTTGAGTTGATAATAAATCCAGTCTGTCGTTAGTTTCTTGCAGTGTCTGTGTGACATCCTTAGCATGTTCAGTCTTGCCTCTTCAGAGAGGTTTCCTAGCCACCTGCTTGTAGTTTTCTGTGAAAGATATTGTAGCATTTTTCTTGGCAGTCCAGCATGTTTTTACAGGTCCTGAGGAGCAACAGTCATCCTGAGCTTTCGTTGATGCTCTCAGTGCAACGTTTGGGGCCTGCTGGGATGTGTTGTCACTTGAAGTCATTACAAGAAGACAAATTCTTAGCTTGGGGTATAACAGCAGAGTTGAAGGAAGCAGAGTATAAGGTCATTGAAAAATAGYGCTTCTGATTACACGTGATATGCCTGAAAACCTGTCAGTAGAAAATCTGGGTATAGAGAAAGGTTAACACTTCACCCTTTGTGATAAAGATCATGCAAGGCTTTGGTGCTGTACAAGAGCTGCGACCCTCTTGGCCAAGCGACTGGAAGTGGTGCAGCTGTATTAATAATTGCATCTTGAAGTTGCAGTGCTGTTAGGAAAATCACTGCATGATTCTAACTCAGAGGTTAATTAACGCATCGCAGGAATTTGGGAAGCTCTTGGAATAACGAGCGTGCTCCTGTGTGGAGTCTCCTAGCTCCCTGGCGTTGCCTTGGACAGTCTTGGTCCGGGATGTTACCTATTCAGCAGCTTCTTGGTTCTGCAAAATCCCTGAATTGCAGCTTCCTCAGCCAGGATTGATCCCATTTGTATCTGATGAGCTGAATTGCCTTTGGCTGCTTATTTCCTCTGTGCAGGCACCAGGAAAAGCTCAGACTCATAATCTAGACAGCTCAGATTAGACRAATCAGAACCACAGTGGGATATTTAAAGCTGCTTTATCCTGGGGGAAGGGAAGGCAAGCCCTGCTTCGTGTAAGGAGGRTGTATAGCAGGATGTATAGGAGGGACACCTGCAGCACACACGAATGCAGGTTGGCAGTGGAAACATCCATCATGGCTGATATCTGCGGAGCCGTCTGCTTTTTCTACCACAGAAATGGGACCTGAATTTAGGAATGTACCTTGTAGTGTCAGGCTTAAAACTAATGGGGAAAAAATGTCTTTAATAACTTCATTTGCTTGGGACTCATGGCACCTAGTGAGAAAAATTAATTTGCAGCATGTGTGTGAAGTGCAGTTCATTTGCAGGGCTCTTGACCAAAACAGGCCAGAATGCATGCAGCAGGACCAAGAAAGCAGAGCAAATTCAGGCTTTTACCCAGGTGTCTTTTGAGAGTCTGTTAGGAGGAAATAATTACAGCTGCTGGAAGCAGCAGCAATGCTAGGAATTGTCTTCCCTGTACCTGATTTCATCAGACACATTGATGACAGTTTCTTCCTTTGCTGTTCAAATTCTAATCTGTGGTCAGGATTTGTTCTTTTTCAGTAGACCAGGACTCTGGCCTGCAGAGGGGTGTTTCTAGCCCACATATTCATTTTTCAGAGCTTGTAGTAAAGGACTGTAGGGTGGGCCTGAAGTCTAGAAGCAAAATCAATAGCTGTAGGTCTTAAAAGGGGCAGTGAACACTGGCTGTAGTCACTGAACATTCAGCAACTTATGTAACTCCTGTGGGATTGCTTTTTTTTCTGACTTTTGCCCTCAAAAAAAAGCCTCTGGGGTGATATGTGCAGCTGCTAAAAGTGGTGCCAATCCACTGATTGCTACTGATTGTGGAAACGCTTGGTCATTTCATTGATTTTTTCTTTATTGGCTACAAAAAGAGCAAATATAATAATATTCTTAACAGCTGTGGTTCAGTTGTGAGCTCTGAATTGGGAGAAATCAGAAATATCCCACTCTCAGAGTGACTGGGAAGCTAGGGAGCAGATTATTCTGGGAATAAGAGTCTGTGTGGGGCACAAGAGCAAAATAGATGAGCAAAAAAAGGGGAGGTGAAACTGGAGCAAAGCCGATGCCCTGAAATAACAGGGGTTGAAACTGGCTATTTAATTTCCACAGCAAAATTGTTGGTAAGAACTGTGAGGTGAATGCAATTGCCAAGTAGCCCTCAGAGAGCAGCACCGTGTCCTTGGCTTGTGCCTAGGGATGCTGTCATTTATTCCATTGAATCAGTGGAGAGGATTCTCAGAAGGAAGTGCAGCTTGGCAGCCGTGAAAGCAGCATGACGGAAGCACGTGCCTGATACTCGGGAACAGCAGAGAAATGCAGGACCRTGACAGCTGGCTCGAGTGGCTGCAGTAAGAAGTGATGCCTAAGAATGAGTTTTCTCTGCTGTCTGATAAAGTTCTTCACAAACAGAGTTTTGCTTCTGTAGCTCTGAAAGCTCAGGCATGCAAAAACAACGAGGCTGTATTTTACAGATGAAAGGTTTCCTCAGGAAAAGTAATTCCAGGTCAGAAAGCATCGCTGCATGTCTTGGATCCCAGCCCAGTGGCTCTGCTCTCTTGGGACAACAGCTGGCCGCATTTCCTGAAATTAATCTGCGATTCCATGTTATGCYTTAGATTGTCCTATTAACTGTCTCGGTTAAGGATGCACCCCAACTATRGCAGATATTTTTCAGCTTAATAATCACTGATGTTATTTTTTTTAAAAGTGGTAGTTGTAAGAAAGCGCATCCATGTTGTGGCTYGAGTGGCTGCAGCTCTCACCCAGTTTTGCCTTATAACTGGCATGAGAAGTCTGCAAAGGAAGAGGATGGGGGGGAAAAAACTATAGAGCAGCTCTTCCCGCAACAGCGGTGGTTTTATAGGAGTTTCCAGTAGGATTGCAAACGTCAGCGATGAATTTTACAAGTCTCTCCTGGTTTGTGCAGTTGATGTCATCTGCTAGATCATCACAATTGGAACAAACGGAGGAGGGAAACAGCAAGGAAGCTTTAACCTTTGCAAGCTGACTCATTTCTTCTGCCTCTGGATGAGGGGATTAAAAATTGGGGTATTACATAACCTCTAGCCAGTGCGAAGGTTACTACAGCCTGGGACATTATCTCCTGCAGCAGTTCATAGTTATGAATGAGCTCCCTAATCCATTGATAGGAGTGTTTTGGCAGGCGTTTGAAAGCCTTCTTGTAGCCTAATGCTTTTTGATAAGGCTGCCCTTCCTCAGGTTTTAGTGACTGATACGGGCTCAGGAAGCACAAGTCCACAATAGCAAAGACCTTTTTTGCAGATAAGATAAAAAAAGTTATTTTGCTTGTGTTGGAGTCTTTGGGGAATTTCTTGGTGGTTGTTTGCCTCATTTGCTGTAACCTTGTTTAGGAGGCCAACTAAAAAGCATAGTACACATGAGCATGATACTTTTTTTTTCTTCTAGAAGATGTTTTYTACAGTGTTGGTGTTCCTTTTCCTTTCAGATAGGCCAGGTTGCACGTATGCACAATCGTAACATGATTCAGTCACCTTCAGATGATTCAAGTAAATTTGTGAAATGGTTTAGTTTTCAAACAAAGCAGTTCAAAAAGCTCAAAGCACATGGGGCTGTCGATGAGCTGTTTCCTTGCAGAACAGYTAATCTCCAAAGTTTCTGTAGGCTTCCTAGAAATTTAGGATGTGAATTAGCTAACGTTCGAGTAATTTGGGCCTGCAGAGGTCTCAGTTTTTACTCTTAATCCTGCTTATCTCTGGGTTAAGCAATACGACACAGCGATATAAACCTTTCTTTTTTAGTATTACTCAAGGCACTGATATTGATGTCGCGCTAGAGGAGAAGAATATCGATTGTGCCGATTTCTTGGGCGCTTGTGAACAGCAGGTAGGGCAGGAGCTTTCTCACTGCCGCCTCCCACAACGGAGACYGCTCCCGATCCCGTATCGAGGACCTCGTTGCGTGTCTGCCCCGCTCCCTCTAGCAGCCCTTTGCGTTTTAACGTGCACGGAGGGGTGAGGTCCGACGTGCTGCTGGGTGGTGTGATGCAGTCAAAAAGGCCTAAAACGACCGTACGTGACGGCAAAGAAGTGCTCGGACGTGCAGCTTTGCTGGCGATAAACAGTTGCCGTTGATGCGTTTGGCTTCACGTGTGCGGCGCGAGATACTGAAGTGAAACCAGTCCCCCTAGGCGACACATCCAGTGGGGGAAACTGGATTTCTGCTCGCTGTTAGTTATAAAGCTACAGAGAGCCTAGTGTACTGAGCGGTGCTGTTTTTAAGCGGTACCTYGTTTGCCTGACGTTGCTGTTATGAAATGTTTTTTGCCAAGGGGTGAGTCTCCACTCCTCAAAGCTGTTTTTTGAACATCACAGTTGTTAGCCAGAAAAATCATGAATGCGCCAGGACTACAGTGTCTGTATGTGTCSTTGCTTTGCTCTAAGCTGTTCTCAAACTGTTGCGCACAACCATGGGAAATGCTCCTTCGCACAGGCGRAGCGCATCTGTTGTGCTTCTCAAGGATGAAACTGTAACCAGTGCAGCAACTGGGCTGTTCTCCAGCCCTTCATGGTGCAAGCTCCAGATGTTCCGTGTTATCCTCAATTAGGAGACCATCACAGCTGAGTTACGAACAACTCAAAACACAGCCCCATGTGAGCTCGGTCCAGCCAGACTGATAGCTCTGGGGCTTAACGGCCTAACTTATCCCTCATAAGATTTGGAGCTGGTAGTTAGCATCCAAACACCCAGGTCCTGCTTGTGTCCCAYGGAAGGGGCTGGAAGGAGCCTTTGCTTCTGATGCTGAGTGTGCAGAGCCTTCCTGCCCGTTATGTTTTGAGCCTCGCGCCGGATTTACCCACCGAGAGTCACTTAATGACAGTGGCTTCCTAGTCAAGAGCCTGGTCTGGACTCAAAACACAAGTTGTGGAGCTTCTTTATAAATTACTATCCCCCCGCCTTAATAAGTAGCATCTGCTGTAAGATCTGTCTTCATATTAAGGCTTTCTTATGATCAAATATAAGCTCTGATACTGAAATATGCTGATTTATGTGTGAGTCCTTCTGGTTGCTGAGGAGCAGAGCAAGACGTTCCTCATAAGGATCAACTCTGAAGATGGTTTCTTTAATCAATAATACAAATTCTAGCCTTTCTTTCAGTTGTCTCAGAGGTAAACACAGAATAGACTGTAATATTGACCTGTGTCAAATTAAAAATTAGCTGGAGTGGCCTGTTCTGAAACACACTTCAGTTTTAGAACTTTCCACATCCTGCATTTGGAGGCCAAATGGGCACCTTCACCCTGCATGAACACTGCATTATATATGTGAAAATAGGATTTCAATCCCATATTCTTTTTAGATTTTTCCTTTAAAAAAAAAAATAGAAAATAACTTCCATAAAATATGGCTACGGTTGCTGGCTTATTTTGTTGCAACGAATGATACTAGCCAAATATTTTTGTGAAAGAATGTTAGTCACATAACGTAATGCAATATTCTTAGAAAGTCCTGGTTATTTATACACTTGACGTGCAGAATGTTTCTCCAGACATGTAAACAAAGCAAGGGGTGTCTTGCCAGTGTACCATAGTCAGCCTTAAGTTATTTTGAAACCAGRAGCAAGATGTTTTTCAGCCCTTTAAAAATAAGATACAGAGTCCTCTGCTGACACAGGCATAGTGCTAATGATTGGCTTTATCCAGCTGGAGTTTTCACCCGCCATTCCTAMCGCTCCAAAAATAAATGGAGATTTGCTTTCCTGAAGAGCTGCAATTGTGCTAAATAAAACTCCTGGTTTACCTCGGTGTGCGATTACTGTATTATTACTTGATGAGTCTGCTGCCCCCCTCTTTAACACAGGTCTGAGGTTTGTTTTGCTGTTTTTGCTGCTGTTTGTGTCTTACTGTGCATTAAACAAGCTGTTTGCTTGATTTAGAGAACTTGGACAGTCGGTTTCTTGCCAGTGCTGCCAGTCTCAGCTTGGACCCGTCCTGGTCCCACCGCTGGCCCGGGCAGCTGTAGCTTCATCCCGCGTAGCTCCGGACTGCGTGTCCTGATGGCTCTTACGGGGAGATACAGCAATACCTGTTGGRGATAGTGGATAATTTCCCTGGCAGATAGTCCCTGCCATCCCAACTCGTATCAAAGTTGGTTAAAGATCTGTCCCATCTCCTGCTGGGCTCCAGAGCTCGAGCTCTGTCTTGTTCCTTGGTGCTGCTGCTGCTGGGACCACATTTCACATGGATGTGGCTCTTCCTCCCCATCCTTATGGTGCAGGGTTGCAGGTAGAGCAGAGCTTACTCAAATATACTTATAACAGCATTCAACTTCAACAAAATCTTCATTCTGTTGTTAGTTTTGTCAACTGCTGCCATGTAGTCGGTTAAAAATGAGTTGTTGGTTTTCTCAACTACTGCCTTGTAGTTGGTTAGAAATGCCTGTCAGTTGGAGTTGTAGCAGATGAGCTGGGAATGAGTTAGCAGTTACTTGTTGGGATCCTTTCCAGGGAAGGAAGGTGGAGTTTTCAGCTGCTCGCAGCCTTGCTAAAATAAGAGTCCAAGGGGGTAAGTGCTTCACCTTGTGGATGGAAATACTGAGCAACTTCCAGCAGGGATCTAAAGGCTCAGTAAGTGAGGAGAGGAAATTTTGGTTTATTTTCAATATTCACTCCAATGACATTCTGCTATTCCACCCATTAAACCTGTTGGGTATTTCAGACTAGACTCGTTCTTAACCTCCTGCTCCTGATCTGCAAAGAGAAGTCCAGATGCCAAAAGCAAATAGGGCAGTGCTGAAACGTGTTGGAAGTGCATGAACCTGGAGGACTAACTCCTAGTATCTCATCTGCGTGGAGCAATCACGTAGGGATTAGGGGCTGCTGCTTTTTCCTTATATTCCCTCTTCCATCATATCAGGCAGCAGGTGCAGTCAGTAATCACTTTACAGGCACGTGGTAGCAGACATGGACTGGATAATTCGTTAAAAACTTTTCCCCAAAGCAAAAGTAATACGGGATGTTTGTGCTACGTTGTACGTCTGGACAGAACAAGCATTTTACTTAGTTAATGACAACTGGATTTTGTCATATAGAATTGTTTAAGAAATCTCTGAATGTATCCTTCGTTATTGTAATCAGGTATTAGATAATGTTCAGTTAAAACATATTAGTATGTGCAAACACTTTATCACTTATTCCTATCACAGTCAAGATGAGAACAGTTTAATGCTTCCTCCCATTGTATTTACATTAAAAAATATTTTTTACCTTTAAATTAAGCAGTAAGAATTTAATCCTGTTGTTCTGTGAAACTGCATGTGGAGCCATATCTGAGCAATGTGGATATCTTAGATGCATCAAGAGCAAAAGAATATATAAATCATTCATTAAATCATTAAATGATTTAAGATTTGAACTATAGTGGGTAACAAATGCACTGTTGCCTCTGGGGTGCTGGGCATTGGCATTTGAGCTCAGAGGCACTCAGGTTTTGTATATTAGGCTTATTAGCAATATCTCTGTGGAGGCACTGACATATCAGCTGTTTTTTACTCTGTTATTGTAAATTTGTTTGGGCCCTAATCTTCTGGATCACAGGCTTATGGACACTGGAATTCATGTGTATGTGATTAAATACATATTCAGTTGCTTTAGAAAACTGTTTAATTCCCTTCCCCTTGCAAAGCAATAGGTGTCAGACAAATGGCAGCAGCATATTTAGTGGTGAAGCACAAATAATTTATAAAACTTCACCTTTTCTATTGGCTATTCCTGAAAAAGTAGCTGAACCAGAAATCTGGAGAGCGCTTTGATTGTGCTGGCTTAAAATAGGAGGCTTAAAATCATGCTGGTTGTGACCGTACAGATTTTTCTATGCAAACCTCTCATGAATCAGCAGCAGAGGGGACTTTTAAACTGAAATATTAACGTGAATCAGACATCTGGGCTTTGGAGGAGTGACCAGTGCTGCACAAACAGTTTAAACTCTGCAGCTTTGCTGGGACTTAGTGTTTCCCCTCTGTGGCAGCAGGATTTCAGGATATTGGTGCTGGTAGCACTGAGAACCTATGAGCCGCCAGTAAGTAAGGAGCTGTGTTTCGGCATGGGTGCTTGGCAGAGGGTTTGCTCCAGAGTTACCATAGGACACGTGGGTATTTTTTTTTATTCAGCAATTCTGGTTGCTACAGGCACTTGCRAATGGGTTTTTCAGTCTGTTCAGTTGTTCTCCCGCTTTTTTGTATTGCTTAGAATTGAACCGCTTAGGTTCTGTAGCTTAAGACATAGGGAATGGTGTGCATTGGAGATGAAGTAAGATATAATTGCCAGAGAAGGAAAACTGAGAAAGAAAATAGCATTTTCAGATCTAGAAGGTTAAGGTTTTTATTCACTTGTGAAACAGATTTTTTTTCCTATTAGCTCTTATGTCACCTAAAACTATTTATTTAGCTCAGTGTTATGTATGTTAGAAGGGAAACATTCATTTTCCTGTCTGTAGAAGTAGATACAAGGGCTTGTTTATGTTAGCAGCTCACCATTTACTATTTTTCTTCTTCCTTACCATGGTCAGATCCATATGTCAGGTTCTCCTGGCTAGAAAGGAGGTCTATATTCTGAATTGGCATGGCTAGCCCCATTTAAATTGCTAACTGAATTTACTTAGCTGTAAGGAAGCTGCCTTTACAATATAATAGTGCATAGTGCCTTCACAGGTTGCTTGGCCATGCTCTTAATCAGTACTCTGAGCCTCCCAGAGAGGGAAATAGCCCTAGCAAAGCATTAACCCATTGCCTCACTCAGTAATTTTGCTGCCTTTTGAGACAGCTGCTTGTAGGACACAGCTGGGTGTGCTTAATCYCTTCCAGTTCATGGTAATCTGTCATGACACAACTTCCAACTTTGGAAGAAGTATGCCATAGGTTGCTTAAAATCAATGCAGCTCGACTAGCTTTCTGCCTATGTGAGTCCTGCCGACTGTAGGTTGGCAACAGAAATGAGAGTGCCGGTTGCAGRGGGGAAGAGCCGTTTGTGGCCGTGGTGAGTTTCTGCCTGTGAACCAGGTGCTGCCAGTTAAAATGTTCCTTCAGTCAAGGTGTAGATGTGCAGCATTAAATCATGAAAACCCTCCTGCGGACTAGTTTTGAATTACGCTTGTGGAAACAGGGGATTTTTGTTAAGACGAGGCGACGAGTGAGCTTCGCTAACAGTGAAGCACTATGCACAAAATAGGAGCAGACAATCGAGCGTTTCATCAGCCTCCTTGCATTCTCCTGCCAGGGTTTTTGAGCTGTCCTCAATTGCATCAGTCCTGCTGGACATCGTTTGCCATCTATAATTTGGAGCCAGATGGAAAATGAATCCACTGTATGTTGATAGAGCCATTTCATAACAAGGGAAGCCCATTTTGTGTCTGTGCTAGTTCAGCCTCTAAATTGCCCTTTTTTTTCTTTTTGGTCTGGTTATATTTGTGTCTGTAGCAGAAAATGAAACCAGAGCATCATTAGCAGGGATGACAAAAGCATGTTAAAGGCTCCGCGTAGTTTTTCTTTCAATTTCAGGTGGATAAATGCATTTTTGTGTTGCATTTCCAGGCACATCTAGAGGTGTCACTGAGTGGCAAGCATGAGTCCTATCAAGTCTCATAGTGCACCTACCATAAAGCTGATGTTTTCCCTTCTCGGTACTCCCTTATCTATGCAAATTGCTAACAAATTTGGTCTCTCTGGCCACAGGAAAKGGTCACAGACTGTAAAAGGTGGTGGAATGCGGCACAAGTCTCTTCAGCTGAGGATCCATTCCTCAAATCCGTGCTAGAAGGTGCTCAGGGCAGGCTTGTGACCCCGGTGTCTCCTCTCATGTGACATTTCACACATGCCACTTCACCTTCTGGAAGAGCAGAAAACTGATCGCTCCAGAAAAGTCTTATGCTTAAGAGAAGCAGTGAGTGAAGAACCAGATTTGTTCTTGATAACTGGAAAAAAATGTGTGGTTTTTTTTTTTTTTTTTTTTTTTTAAAAAAGACTAGCTAATGAATGAGACCTTCTGAGTCTTAAAATGTTTAAAAACTGTAGAATTTGCCTAGGAGCTGCTGGGAGTAAAATTCAAAAGCAGGAGCCAAAAATTGCGTGTCAGAGCATAAAAGAAAACTCCAGTTTGTGTTTCCTGGTGTTTGACAGCAAACCCTTCTGGTAGGTGTCCAGAGGCAGAAAAATCGTGCGGACTTGGAACCACGTAATGTCAGGACAAATTGCAAAAACAGGGTTGCAATGCAGGCATGTGATAGAAGATGCTCATAGAACAGGGCTTTTCTCTTGAAAGAGAAAATACCGGTGCTGCTTTCAAAAGCTTTATTTAAATTGGGCATTGGCAAGCGAAGATGATTTGGCTGGAAAATGGCAGGTTCCCGATATAGTTGTTTCAATAACATCAGCTTCAGACCTGTCAGACCTGTTGTTTTTGCCATGTTTTTTACAGTTAGCTTTTCCTCTGTTTAACTGTTGCTTCACTTGCTATAGACACAAAATCAATGTATTTTAGTCCGTGCCATTGCTGTGGGAGAAAAGCCTCTTCTCCCTCCTGTAAACCCTGCAATACTTAGAGCAGGGGCCCGCCGACTTGCTCTCGAGTAGAAGAATGTTGCTAGAAGCCAGAGCCCAGATTCCCCAGGTCTGAGCCTGATTTCACCTGTGCAAATCCCCACCTGCTGCGGTCATTTTCCATATTTGCAGGAGCCTCCCAGCTCATTGAAAGAGCAGGTTTGTATTTCTTGCCTGTTTCTAACAGGAGGATTTTTCTTGCATCTTGTGCAGCGCTTCCCTGGACTTGGGGAGCTTTTATTGCCACTGAACGTAGCTGACCAGCAGCGTGTGATTTCCCTTCCCTCTCTCGGGGAAAACATCTGCGCATTGAGAGCAAACATAACGTTTTTGCAAAAATTAGAAAATGGGGCTGCTGCCTGCTTGCCAGAGCGCTCTTTCCTTGTCACAAATTGAGTAGCGTTTTGCTCTCCCGGCTGGCGCAGCGGGGTCGGATCCGTGTTGCGAGGTGCGTCGGGAAGCCGCAGCCCGCGGYGCGCTCCCAGCTCGGGTATCTCTGCCCTGCACTCGGCTTGTGGCTCACACCTCCCCAGGAGCGATTTGCTCATTCTTGTGTGCAGGAAATGCTGCTTATTTATCTCAACCCAGTGAGATTTTCCATTTAACCCTCCGGACGGGGGATCGATCGGCTCTAACTGCTTCTCCRCTGTTGTACCCAAGGAAACGCTCAACATCTTCCAAGGAGACGTTTTGAGACGTGAAACTTGGGCTAAACTCTTTCTTTGGAAAGCAATTACATTAGAAATACATCTTGTCCTGAGCTAGTGCTGACTGTAGAATTAGGTCAGGCACACCCTGCATCCAGCTGCGTGTTTCCTGCTTGCTCATATTTCTGAGAACAGTTGTACGTGCCAATGTTTTTGTCGACGTAAAGGAGTGTTGCCACCTTAAAAATAAGTTGTTTGGAGTTTTATATTTAGTCATCGTGGTTACGCTGTGGCTTGGTAAGAGTGGGAGATTACGAACTGTCTGATTCATCGCTCCGCGTGCTGACAGTTCCTTGCCATTCACAAACTGAACACTCAAGTTGCCCATTTCTACTATTTTTACTCTTTCTGCCCTCCTCCTTGTCATGCCAGATGACGGGGAAGCAGTGCCTGGGCTGTCGGATGTGACAGGGACGGGCTCCGCTCTGCACAGCATTTGACTGCTCGACTCCTCACAGTTTCCTTTGAAATCTTGCACAGTTTTGCAAACCCCGGTCCCCAAGCTGTTTTGCAGTAGCTCTCTTAACCACAAGGGTTAGGGATAAGGAGCAAGTAGTAAAATAGTTAGGAGCCAATGAGTCTGTGCTTTAACTGTGTAGACTGCCCTTCATCTGCATGTTTTTTCTTTGCTGTAAGTGTTATTTTAAGTATATTTAAGTTTCTTTTCCTTCATCCATCGCCTGCATACTATTTATGGCAGGTTAGGCCATTTGTGTCCTTAGGATAACTATGGGAGAATGGAGTGCCTTGGGAAATGTTCGGGATGCTCCCGTGGTTTCCTGGGGCGGGGAAGGTTATCCCAGCACCCTTCCTTCCTTAGGAATGGATAGAACAAGGGTCAGGCTGTTCATCTCTCCAGAAAGCTCATGAAATGAAGAGTCTAGGCCTGTGATATGGTGCTAGTGAAAACTTTGAACTTCTAACTTAAAAAAGAAAATAAGAAATAGACTCCCATACTTTTCTCCCAAGAAAAGCGTGGCGCAGAGCAAATCCCAGCAAAGATGACTCCTGTGCGAAGTGGGCAGCGGGCGCGGGAGCGAAGCATCCCTGCCGCTCAGCGGGACGTAACGTTCACAGCTCCGTGTCGGTGGCCCTGGCTGGTTTGTGCTTGGCAGAAACACACATAGCAACCTAGACCTCAAAGGAGGCAGCAACCTGCTCGTGTTCGTCCTGCTCACCACAAGGTCATCGTGCCCAGGCAGCGAACGTGAGCAGTGACCACGCGGGAGTAGCACCTCTCTGCTCTGACTGCTCCCCCAAATTACAGCCCTCCTTCTGTATCCCTGCTTTTCATCATTAAAGACTTTACCCCTGTGCTTCCCAGGCTGCCGGGAGCAGCGAGCACTTAATATCTGCAAAAAGCTTTGGAGGTGAATAGTGCTAATTATTATTTATAGGTAGTCCTTCTCGCCGTGGTCACCTTGATCCCAGCCATGAAAGCAGAGCAGGACCTTTATAAGCTGCTCAGGTTTGAACGTGACCGTCTGGAGTCTGACAAACTAGTTTCCCTGCTGGGTTGTACGTGGGATTGCGTTGAATTTGTCACATTAAATGACTAGTTTCAGAACTTATTGTACCATCCAGCTGCAGGTAAAGAGCGCTGACTTGTTTGCCCCCGTTTGGAAATGCAAAAGAAAACATCTTGGGGTTTGGACATGCCAAGAAGGGAGGAAAAGGTGAACACGTAGCTTCCCAGAAAATAGGGGAGGGAGAATCCCACCTGATGCCTTTAAGATGATGGTTGCAAAGAGCAGGGGTCTGAATCTTGCACCGTCTCTTGAGGGTCTTCACTCCTTCCACCCATGCTGATCTTTATGTAGTAATAATGACGACAACAACAATAATAATAATAGTGGTGATAATAATAGTAATAATAAAGAGAAGATGCGGAAGAGCYGTGGGGTGTTTTTTTTAATGCTTCTAGCAGATTAAGCGGAAAAAGGAAGAGAGGGTCAGAGAAAAAACAACGTAGTGCAGCTGTAGCTGATGAATTAGTTGGACCTCACGGTGAAGGATTGTGCTGAGCTGCACACAGAGCCCCTGGAACCGCCTGGGTGTTTAATTCCAAGTTTAAGGTGATGAAAGGGCACTGCTCGCGAGGCTGCGGACCGTTGTGCTAATCAAAGCCAGATTCTTGCTTGTGAAGATGCCGTCGGGACCTGGCTCGTGCTGTTGCACTTCATTGCAGCCTCACTTCTCAGGCGGGTTCCTTGTGAAGCCCTGGAACGTGAGGAACACCCACRAAAGCCGTTTGCTTCTGTCCCACAGGCTTGTCAGTCCGATCCCCTGCCCCAAAAGCTCCTCTCCAAGTAACATATTAAATAATCAAGAGCTTGTGCAGATCTATCAGCAGGCCAGCCGTGATGGAGCGCTCGTGAAAGGCAGGCGCCTAAGAAATAAACTGTATATTTGCGTATCGGACTTGCTTCGTGGAGCCCTGCTGAGCTCGCAGAGCAAGGTCTGTGCCCATGCTGAGTTTTTGCTGCTTATCCTTAGTGGGGAGCTTGTTGCCAGGTAGAGAAGATGAAGTTTTTGGCTTTCTGCGCAGTTGCCAGATTTTGGAACGTTTAGGTTTAAAAAGTATAGCGTAATCGTGATGTATACGATTCGGGGTATATGTTTTAAACGTAGTATTGGTTGCATAAGTAGTTTGACACAGGCTGGAAAACTGCATTTTTCTGGCAATGCTTAGGATAGGCTCTAGGGTACAGGAGGATGGTGGAGGGTTTTGGTGCTCGGTTTCAAATTCTCAGTTTTGAAATTGGTTGAAAAGAGTTTATTTTGTGCTGTGTTTTGCTGCATGTTTAGGCACCTCTCCTGTACCCTCCAAAAGGCTGTGAGAGACAGTCTGTGTCCAGGATTTTTTTAGGCCAAAAGAAGAGTGAAACAGCCCAGAAAACATCAAGAGAGGGAAGTGGAACCCAGCCCGAGGCGGGTAATTGGRGTCAGGGGAGCTCCGAGTGATGCGTGGCAGCCTCTTAAATTTCCTGGAATAAAAATAACCCATCAGCCAGAACCTTGAAGAAATAATGAAAAGAAAGGGGGGCTTTTCAGGTGGTTTTGCTGCAGCCAGAAATGTTCCTTCTCCTGACTGTTGCATGGATCTGCAACAGATTTTCTAAAAATCCACCAAATTAATAACACTGACGACTTAGCGTTTGGTTAGGGAGATGGGAGGAAGGGGTCGTTACCCCTTTTGTTGCTCTCTAATTAGGAGGAAATGCTCGTGCTGATTTGCAGTAATGATGGAGCCGGAGCTGAACTGCTCATTAAGGTCATGAGCAGAGAATTCACTAACTCTGCTTTGCGTTCCAGTTGCTTTCTTAATGTGGTGTTTTATGGGGTTTGTTTTTATCCCCATCGGAGTTTTATGAGGGAAAAGGGGTAAAAGAGCTGCTAGAAGATGCTGAAGAGTTGAGTGACATGAGAACAGCAAAAGGGAGGACCCTTAAGATAATAAGGTGAATTGAGCTGCATGTGAAGGGGCCAAAACACTGAAGATGTCTTCAACCGAAGATGTCCCCAACCACATCCCAAGAGGAATTTTGAGGTCTCTAGAGAAGAGTTGAAACGAGTTGCTCAAAGCAGCGTGTGTATCTGTCGCAAGCCAGGGTGGGATGGCTGTGGGGCTGCTGCAGGGTGGGTATTTGATGTGATACGGGCCTTTATTGTAGGACTGTCTGGGTTAAATAGTGGGGTTSGTCACTACATGACACCAAGGGGGTAAATAAATCCCAAATTATTGGAAGAAGAGCACGTCCTGGTCCAAAATCGGGCTGGGTCGGAAGAGCGCTGGTAACCAGGAAAACGTTAACGTTCAGGCTGCAGCCAAGTGCATTTGCCAGTGCTGGGAATCAAGAGTCTCGTAAAGGTTTTTAAAGGACTCTAGTGATCTGGACATTGGAGAGTTGCCAGGAAGATATTGGAAAAAATATGCATGTGCGCTAAAGACTCAATATTAGACTTATTTTAAAGAAAGCAGAGGTTTATAAGTAAAGTTTGTTACCTTAAAAATAATTTTTTTGTCTTTTTTGCTCTGATGAGGTTAGTGTAGGGGTAAAAGGAGTGTCAGAAACCCCTCTCAAGYTCAATTAAATGACTGAATAAAAGCYTCCTGACCCCGAGGGACTTCGCTTGCAGTAGAAGATACGGGGATTTAGGCTTCACTGCCTGGGAATTTCTCCCAACACTGACACCCTGGTGTTTTCTCTCCTAGCTCTTCCTTTAGGAAACGCAGCCACCACCTCACGCCGCGGAGGCCCAGCATGAACGTGAACTGTGCTGCTGGGACAGGCTGGTCGAGAAACCGCGACTCCAGTTGCTCCGTGGAAAACACAACTGCACCCGGCCATGAGCCCCAAGAGAACAACGTGGTGCTAGGAGGTCACAGCCCCTCTTCAGGTCCGAGGTCTGAGGGTGAGGAAAATCTGTGTTTGCTGTATAGCAATCTTTAAGGCAGATTTTTTTGCCAGSTGATAACGTTATTGCCAAAATTCAAGTGTCCCAAGGCAGCTCGCTCTGGGTAAAAGGCACACTTGCAGCTGGGGAGTGCAGGGCRTATATGTCCTACTTTGCCAGGCTGGTGGAAAAGAGAAAGGTCTCTCCATCATACTTTAATAAGAGGTATTAAAGTTGGGAAGATTTTTATTCAAAATTGAGTTGCTGTCTCGAGTCAAAAATGCGGCATAGCCTTCTGCTATATAAAAATACCCTAAAAGATGAGCATATCTCCATTCTCTGCTGGTGTTTCTCATTGCACTAGAAGGCTTTAGTATTAAATGATATTTTGTCCTCATACAGTCTGTTTCTCTTAGGATTGGATCCCGAATGCCGACATGCTGCTTTCCTGGTGAGTCCCCAGATCAGTAGCATGTTGTCCACTTCTGAAGACACGCACGGCTGTCACTTCCAAGATGGGAATAAAAGACAGCCAGAATATTTTAATACCCAGGAACGCCACGGAGGCAGCACTTTGTCTTCAAGCATCAATTCGCAAGCACAGGCTCCAGAGAAAGTGACCCTTGTGGTAGATGGCACTCGATTTGCAGTGAACCCACAGATTTTCACAGCTCACCCTGATACTATGTTGGGAAGGTAAGTGATTTGTGCCATTTTCAGGGCATTCAGGCATATTATTCATGTTGGGATCTCATCCATGCTCATGAACTAAGCAGAGTTGAGCTTGTTTTGAACTGGACTCCTAGGCCTTGAAGGTATAATTAGATATATAGAGAAGTCAGTAGATTTCTAGGCAACATTCTCCTTTTGGTCCGTGTGTTTTAACCGATGTGCACTTTTAACTAAATGTGGACTATTTTCACCTTCTGTCCAAGGGTTTGCCTTGTTGGTGAGCAGTATATCTGTTTGCAGCTGGTAACTTCCCTTCCAGAATGGGGAAAAAAAGTACTGTCTACCTGTGGTATCGCTGGTTATATTTAGCCTCCATGCACCTATTTCTAGTAGGGGTGCATCCGTGTTTACTTGTACATTTATATGGACTTCTCTCTGTTTAGGATGTTTGGACCAGGAAGAGAATATAACTTCACCCGGCCAAATGAAAAGGGAGAATATGAAATCGCAGAAGGAATTAGCTCAGCTGTCTTCCGGACCGTGCTGGTAAGATGATGTTTGCAGATGGAGGAAAAAGACCTCTTGTCACGTGGGCAGAATTGATTTGTCTCCCAAGCAGCTGTGTACCCCTCAGGACATATTCTTTTATTATTGTTCCGTTTTTAGCTAAACATTTATAGTAGATCTTAGTATGAATCATCGTTGTGGATATTTGTCCGTGTTGCCTTTTAACTTTCATGTATCATGTAGTTCCTGAGCTCCATCTTGCTTTCATGGTTACATATAAAAGCATATAGGATATTATGAAACCCCACATTATGAGAGAAGTTTTAACTGGAGTTCACATTTTATCACACCCAAGAGAATCTGCCAAGGGGCCCGTCCTTGGACAAACAGGGCTATTTCTGCCGTTCATAGAGCTCTTTCTTTCCGTCCTAACTAACAAACATTGGTTAACAGAACAAAAAGCGAATTGAAAATGACTGATGTCAAAGCTGTCCTGAATTTTCTTTCCAAAACTTGTCCTTTTAATTTGCAGGATTATTACAAAACGGGGATCATTAATTGCCCTGATGGGATTTCAATCCCAGACCTTCGAGACACGTGCGATTACCTCTGCATCAACTTTGACTTCAACACAATCAAATGTCAGGATCTAAGTAAGTACGGAGAGAAATCATCTCTGATGAGGTGCTCYGGGTGGTGCAGAGTGCTCTGATCCTGATTCAGTGTGGTTTTTAATGTGAAAAAGGGAATAACTTAAAAGCTCAGCCTGTGATTCCTGTCTCGTTAGGTGCTTTGCTCCACGAGCTGTCCAACGATGGTGCTCACAAGCAGTTTGACAGCTACCTGGAGGAGCTGATCCTGCCCATCATGGTGGATAGCGCCAGGAAGGGGGAACGTGAATGCCACATCGTGGTGCTGACGGACGAGGACACCGTGGACTGGGATGAAGATCACCCCCCTCCGATGGGAGAGGAGTACTCACAAAGTAAGAGCTCTCGGTTGATGCTGGAGCTCACATCAGGTCATGGGGGCTCAGCTGTGACAACCACGTCTCTCTTTTTCCTGCCTGTGCCCCTAGTGCAGCAGCTCCTGGCTCTGTGCACACCCTGGTAGTGGGGCAGTAGGGAAGAACAGGGAGCAGGAAAGCTTTTTCCAAGTCTCCTGCTATCCAGAATATAACATGTATCAATGCCTTCCTGCCAAGGGAATTGAGCTCATCTCAGTGTTGGTAGGGGATACTTGAAGCAGTTGAGGGAAAAGAGAGCTCTTATTTTGGCACCCCCACAGCTGTGCGTTTCAGAAACGGGCAGAAAGTTCCTCCTAACAGTTTCTAACGAGCCTTTTTATTTCTCAAGTCCTTTACAGTTCCAAGCTGTACAGATTCTTCAAGTACATTGAGAATCGCGACGTTGCAAAAGCCGTATTAAAGGAACGGGGTCTGAAGAACATTCGCATTGGCATTGAAGGTAAAAGTATTTCCTCAGTCAAGGAAATTCTAAAATGAGTCACTCCATAGCTGATAAATCCTGCTTTTCTATGAATTTGTGTGCAGGAGACTTCCGATGTGGGTTCTTTGGTCTCTAATAAAGGTTGATCCTCTGCTGGAAGTCTCTCTCTCAGCCTCCTGTCTTTAGGACCAAGGAAGCAGAAAAAAGGAATTGTGTTTCCTGCATTCTTGCTGCTCCAAGCATCTACTCAGGGAGCTTGGRGAACCTTGTGCTCTGTCCTGGGGAAGATGATCTCATTTTTATAGCCATTGATTGCTCACATAACAGCCAGCACTTTGCAGCCATTGATCGCAATGGCCACACACAATGGCTGTAGTCTCATCCTGGGGGAAAGAAGACAGTTTTTCACAAGCCAGCAGTGGTAATTATGAAATAGGAGCATTTGTCGACCAAATTCCCCTGTCTCTTTCTCTTCCCCTCCTGTCTGGACAGTCTTGTCCAGAGGAGAGAGTTGTGCAGAGGAGAGAGTTGTCTGTGCGAGTCCAAAGAGTGTGGTGTAACTGTCCACCCGTCTGTGTTGCCAGGATATCCCACCTGCAAAGAGAAGGTGAAGAGGCGGCCCGGCGGCCGCTCGGAGGTGATCTACAACTACGTGCAGCGGCCGTTCATCCAGATGTCGTGGGAGAAGGAAGAGGGCAAGAGCCGTCACGTCGACTTCCAGTGCGTTCGGAGCAAATCTCTAACAAACCTCGTCACTGTGGGCGACGACGTGTCTGAGGAGCACGAGATACTAATGCATCACCCGCCCCAGGTGGATGAACTGGACAGGCTAAACGCCCCGTTCTCCCAAATGGCTGTTAACGATCTACCAGATTAGTGATGGCTCAGGGCCGATGGGGCTGCTTGACCTGGAAACATCTCAGCATGGTTTCGTCCCGGGTGATGGAACACAAACTCCTGCAAGGTGCTTTATCCTTGTCCATGCTCTTACTACGTTGTCTTATTTCAAGCATGTTAATAAAGAGCCACACTCCCTAGTCTAACTGTGCAATCAAAAGCAACGCTGTCTCAACCAGAAAGAAATGCTGCTGTTTGCTTCCAGTGCAAGAGCTTCCAGATTGGTGGTGCTGAGTCTCTTGCCTAAGCTTCTAAAGGAAGAGCGGAGGTATTTGGAAGCTCCTCATTTTTGATAGGAGAGAGGCAATCCCAGGCCTCTCGAGACAAAGCTTTCTGTTACCATTAGGCACTTAGGTTTGCTGTTGTGCTAATCAGTTACAAAGGAGCGAGCATCGAGCAAGACAGATTTCACCCTTTCATCAACCAGCAGAAATGTAGCACTGTTGTGACAGCAAAATACCGAGGTAAGGGAATCTGCCTACACTGCCACCTGGCTTTGCCTCCAGTGAATTGTACTGCTGTTCTCGGAGAGATGGGACTGGTTTGATAGGAAGCGTGTTCCTGATCACAGGAATTTGCCTGTATACACTTCTGCATTAGGAGGGAAACACACTTGTCTTAGAGATATTGTTGCTGTTCAGTTTGGTAAAACAAGTAATTATGCTGAAGGAAAAAGCCAAAAAAAGAAAGAAAACAGAAGACTATAGTTAATGTTTTACAAACTAAATCATTTAGTAGGAAAATAGATGTTATAGAGGTGACTGTGTGTGGTGAAGACTTTCAGTTTTCTCCTCCATCTTCCTCCTAAGCCAAAAGCCAGTGGAAGATCTCTGCGTACAGGCAGGGTAAGAGCCAAGTAAAACCCCTGACCCCTCAAGCTTAGTCAGAGTTCTGCTGACTGCAAGGTGTGCTCCGCTCGCGGGGCCCAGCGCAGCTCTGAGAGGCCACCTCCTGTCTTCCCACTTCGGAATCGATTGGGCCCCTTCGCTGTAAGGCAGGTAAGAAATATCAGAAATAAAGCAGCCTTCAACGGGGCCAATGCTTGTATCTGGGACCAGCTCTCCACTGATACGCTTAATATAGTCTGTGAGTTACCACTTAGTTCTCTTTGGAGTTAGGCCCGAAGGAGCTGGCACCACAATTCTGTGGTGTCCCAGGCTGGYTGAGCTCCCCCGGCTGTGGGGGAGACCGGCTTGTCCTGCTCCTGCAGCACCAAGTGCCCCATAGACTTCCTTAACGCCGCAAATAGGACACAGCGTTCTGTGCTGCCAACCTAACTGGGATGGGCCTGCCTTGCCCAGCTCTCATTTCTGATGGCACTGTAGATTTTTCCATGCCCAAATAAGAGTTCTTGCCACCTTAAGCATGATGCTGCTGCAAGGAAAACTTGGAKGCCTTCAGAACAAATACATAAAAGGAGAGAGGGAGAGAGATCCCCTGCAAAGTTCCCGAGTTCAGGTCAGTTCTGCTCTTGCAGTTGACTGCTGTTAATAGCTGTAGCAATTAGCCATGGAGTTGCTTGGTCATGCTTGGCAAAAGAGAGGTGGGCTGTCAGTCTGCTCCTGTAGATTTAATCCTTTATTGTCAGGGTTGCTTCATCAAGCAGGTTTTTATTGTTCTTTGAAGAATCTGTCTGTGAAGTGTAAGATAAACTTACTAGTGAAGATCGTCACTGTTTTGGTGCTAAGGGCATTTGGTTTTCTCTAAGTAATGTGACAGTATTGAGCACAAATTAAAGATTTATGACTGCTACTTTAGTTAAAAAGCAAACCAAGCCCTCTTGGCCAGTGCTTACACGTGCTGATATATTTAGTTTCTACTTGCAGTGTTCCTGTTCTTCTTTCCCAAGTGCAGCAAATAGATTCCTTCCTTTTCCAAGTGCCTCCGGGAAGATTTCCAGAAGTGCTTAAGGCCCCACTGAGTATCCAGGGCGTCCAGGGCCCCCCGGCAACTTTTGAAAATCTCTCCAGGCTCTCGCTGGAGCCTCTCGCTGGCTGCAGGCTGGAGAAGTGGCCTTAAGTGTCTGCCCCGAGCTGAGGGAGAGGGGCTGCAATCCCTTTCGGTTGTTTCTTTAGGTGAGAGCTGCTACTTTGGTAGYAGAGAAAGGTGGATATATGGAATATTAATCTGCCCAAATGCATTCCCTGCCTGGGTGAGGAGCTGCTCCCCAAAGTCAAGCAAAGGCAGGGATGCAGCTTGACCTGGGCCCKGTGGGGTTGATGTTATCTATTTATTTATCAGCAGTGTAGGTTTTAGGTCAGTGTGTGCTGGTGTTGACTAGTTGGGGTTGGAGCTTAGCCCTGTTCTGCTCTCAGGCCCCAAATGGGGGTGTTGCGAGCCCTGCCGTGTCCCCGCGGTGCTGTTGAGCAGCGGCCAGTGACAGCCCCCCATGGGATGTGAGCGCCGGGCTCCACATCCCAGCACCACAGAATCCATGGGGGCTGCCCCGAGCCTCCTTCCCTGCTTGCAAGGCCTGGCAGAGGAGGCAAGCAGCCGGTTGGAAATAGGGCCCCAGGCCCGTTGCTGCCAGGGGACTGGCTGGGGGCTAGAGCCCCCCCCGCCTTGTAGGGACTCTTTTGCTGACACCCCARAAAAGCCATTGTGCTTCCAGAGCTTCTTAGTATAGGATTTTATTTTTTTAGTAGAGCAACTGCCCTTGGAATGCTGAAGTAATTTGAAAAAAAAAATGTATCTGCACTTATTTCCCCCCCCTTTTATCTCATGGCCATCTGTTATTCAGGCAGAGTCAAATGTTGTATTCTTCTAGATATATTGAAGTGCTACCTGTGGTATTTACAAAGCCCTGGAGCTGTGTTGTTTCTTTTCTGTATTAAAGTATAAATTATTTGTCACTTGCTTGGCTCTTATTTTAAATGTGGAGTAGGAGAATGGAGAAGGAGGTAGATTGCTAGGGTTTTTTCCTTGCTTCCTAAAGTTGCTGTGCCTTGTGCYACAAAAGCCTGGGGCTTACAGAGCGCCTGGCCCTGGGGCACTAACAGCGGCCGCGCTGAGGACGAGGGATTGTGCCAGCTCGSTGCACTGGTGTGAGGAGAGCAGCCCAGGTCTGAGCCAGCCCCACTAACCCCCAAACCCTGCAGCACASAGAGCAGGCCCCAGCCCTGCTCTGGGTTAGCGTGCTAGGGAAAATACCCCTTCTCCCCCCCTTGCTTTTTAGAAAAGGGGGAAAAAGAGYGAGCTTTGGAGCAGGTTTGGCCAGCCTGGCTCTTCTTTCCGGCTTCAGCAGTGGAYGTGGTTCAAGGGCTCTTCTGTTGACGCTTGAGAAAGGGCCTAGGCCCAGCTGGGATGAAGGGGAAGCACTGAGCCAGGAAGGGAGCTGGCACAATGGTGAAGTTAAGGTTTGGGTTGGTGCAAAGGGGTTGAAGAGGGAAGTGTCTCCATTTCCACCACTGSTTTCTCCCTGCTTATTATCCCTTTCAAAAATTGAAATAGGAAAGCACCAAAAAATGCCTCTGAAGTTGTTAAACTGAAGTGACACTTACCCACTGCAGCTACTTAGGCCAGGCCCATCCTGAACTCTTTTCYTGTGTCTGCTGTGCAGCTTTAGGAAGTGCAGGCTTAGGCCTCTTAGCAAAACTGTGTTTACTTAAGAGTTTTTATTTACACAACACAATACAAAGATCGTTCCGTAAAAAGTTGGCTTCCCCAGCATCACCCAAGATATCTGCCACATCTTACAGTGCAATTTAGTAACAGCTTTTAAATATTTACAGAACACTTTTTCCTTCAACTCGCACGTTAAGGCAGAATCAGGGCACAGTGATAAGAAACACTTAAGTGCAGTTTGGTGCTAGGCAGGATACAGAGATGAACGGGCAGCGTAACGTGGGGTCAGATCCACCAGAAGTTTAGCTTGGAATTACTCCTGGAAAATCCAGTTGGAAACAACCAAACAAGMAAGCAAGAAAACATTTTTTTTTGCAGCTGAAAGAGAAGAGCTAAAGGATACTTTGACCTTGATTTAGCAGATAATTATACGTATACAGCAGCAGCTAATAAAAATGTTTGGCTAAGGTGGAGGGGGTGGGACAGCCCTACAGGACTCCTACACTGCTTGCCATGAGGCAGGGATCCTAGGAACAGGACACTACCCTTTACACACAGTTACCAACACTAGGACAGAGGGAACAGGCTCAGGAGGCAAGAGTGAGACAAAAACTACACCTGGAAAAGGATGAGCGCRATTCCCGGGAAGCAGCCTCAAAGACAGCTACACTGGACAGTAAAGGTGACAGAAGTRAGGGACCCAGCTGCTCTTCGTGCCTTTGGATAGCTCTGCCTTTGCCTCAAAACATGGTAATATGAAGAAAACGTGGACAAGCTGAGATTTCAGAAGACAGTTTAAAAACTAGGCAGTAAAAATGCATTTTTCCCCGCAGCAAATTCTCACCATTTATAGTCGTGGTGCTTCTCTCATCTTTGGTATTTATAAAAGCCACCTGTCCCTTTTGTAAAGGGCTGATAAGGCAGCTACTGTCTCAGAGTCATTTACTCCTCCTCCACAGCAGCTTTCAGGGGTTTTGCTGTTTAAGTTTCAAGGTGGTAACTAACCTGGTAGGAAGTGAAAGAATTGCTTAGATAGTAACAGCTCTTATTTTTTTCCCACTGTCTTTCTAAGGCAACATTTTCCCAAGGTTGAAAGAAACCACAGGAAAAGGAGACAGAGAAGCAGGTACCAGTTCTTAACAAAGGAATAAAGATATTATTGACCAGTCAGGGGAAAGCCTGAGCCTACAAATCATTACTCCAGGTAGCCCTTGTTATTAGGAGTAGCCCCTACTGCCTGGGCTGTACATTAAGGCTGTTCTTGCGTTCCAGCTTTGTYGGATCCAAGCACTAGCTAAACTGCTTATGGCAATTCACAGAATTCCTACAACACGTAGGAAAAGCAGGAGAGGGGCTGGGGAGAGGGGCCAACACATCAGCACCCATAGCTACGTACAGAACTTACACACACACCCCAGAAATCAGTCCTTCATGATGGCACTCAAGTCCAAAGACATCTAGGTAGAAATTCCCTAAAAGCACCTATTTAAAAAAAAAAAAAGTTTCACTACCCCCCCCCGCCTTTTCTTTCACTTACTAGCTTAGAAAGTTAGGACTAAATGTCACTCAAAGCCACTCTAACACTCTGAAACACTGTTTTAGTTTAAGGTTCTCACCTGGGCTCTGCACTTCTTCGTGTTCAGCACCAATGAAAGTTCACAAGAATCTGAGCTGGCTCAAATGGAAACACGCTTCCAGAAACCTCCGCAAATTAAAAAACACCATTTGCAACTTAAAGACTGGTACCAGTTAGGCTGATGTCACCTGCACCAAGAGGACAGAGCTAACTCCAAACCAGATTCAAAAGGGAGCTCGTGCTCACAGAAGGGAATTACCGAAGGCTCAAGTGAGGCCAAAGCCTCCCTCCCAAAATGCAGTCGTGTCTAAGGAGTTTAGGCAAAGAAAGGCACTTTGGGGCGCTCCTGGAGAGCATCCTGAGCATCACGGAATGTGCTTTTATGGATGACRGTGGGCAATAATTAAAGAGGGGCAGGGTGGGTCCCACAGCCCAAGAGGGACCCCAGGAAGCACCAGCTCTYTGGAGCTCTCCAGGTACAGCTGCAAGAGGAGCTCAGGGAGGACAGGGTGGACATGCCACCCCCACCAAGACCTTCTTCCTTAAAAGTGGTGATACTGCTCGAGTGGAAACTTGAGAAGGCCACAGGGGTTGGTTTAGTTTGGATGCAAACTGAGCAGATATCCCCGCTGGCCACRAGACGGCAGCAGCAGGACCACAAAGCCTCCTGGCTGAGCCACCTGTACCCGAAGTGCACATTGATGAACAGGTTGAACCAATTTCCCCTCACTCTGCCCTAATTCCAGGGCCACTTACATCACCAGCCGCTGTCTTTAGCACCTGCAGTGTTTGCACACCTGCAGTGTTTGCACACACGTCCTTCCACGCAGTAACCAAAACCTGCTGCAATGTGTGGCAGGAGAGCCCTGCTCCTCTTATCACTGCTTAGGGGGGGAAAAAAGAAAAAGTGTTAATTTAGAAAAACACTAAATGGCTTGAGGGTTGCTGTCTTAGTACCAAAAGTAAAGTGCACCACAACTTGAGGCCATTGTGATAAGAGCTGAGAAACACTATTAAGAGAGGTTTCCAAGTAGCATTATAAAAAACAGTACTACAAATTAAAGTTAAGGCAATATAAGTTGTATCCTTCTGCTAGATAGTTTGCTGGAGAGTTGTCTACCTCAAGCTTTAATTATTGCTTCATTTCCTCTGTACTAAAGTCCTTTTGTCACTGGGAAAACAGTGCTGGCAGAATTGGCAGACTGAGGACGTCGCTTAATGCGGGACCTGCAAAACTGTCCACACAAATATCATGCGCTCGACAACGTCAAAGCAAAGGCTTGCTCTCCCTCCTGGCGGGCTGGGCAAGCTGGCAAAGAATTCACAAAGAAAACAAACTCTTGCTCCTGGAGCAGCAAAATGTGCTGGCAGCAGAGAGGCCAGAAGCATTTTGTGGAAGTTTTCAATGGCGCAGAGAGACAAAATTCTTGGTAATAACCAAGGTGTGTAACAAAAGCAGCTCCTGAAATGTTCTCCAAGAGTCCATAGCCCTCATGTTTTCTTTAAAAAAAAAAAAAAGTTATTTTATGGGTGGAAACCCAAAGAGGAGAAATGAAATTCTGAGGCTCAGCAGAAGTCCCAGGTAAAGACTTAACTACTTTCCTGCTTTCATGTAGGATGGTATCGCTCCTCGGGCCGTGAGCCCCTCAAAACGCTTGTAGGTGTAGTTGATAAAAACCCAGTCTTTGTTCTTATAGTCAGTCTCTGGATGGTTGCTTGTGGCAACTGTTAAGAGAAAAGAGTGGGTTTTAAACAGGTTTTGACATACAGATAACAAGGATCCTCTGAAGACTCTTACACCAAACCATGTATGTGATCCAGTTCTGCTCCCCTCTATAGGTTAGACACATAGATAGATAGATAGATAGATAGATAGATAGATAGATAGATAGACAGACAGACAGATAGATAGATAGGCAGGCAAGAACTGGGGCAGTGCCAAGAGGTGCCACTCGCAGTGTCAGGCCCTCGGGTCCTGCTGAGCTCCCCATTTCTGGGGATGTGTCAGCAGAAGCCTCACACATGCACCCCGACAAATTAAATACCAGCAGCTCTGAGGAAGTGATCAGTAACAGYGTGAAGAGTATCTCAGTACCAACTGTTAACTCTTACCACCTATATCTAAGGAAAGCCAACGCCATTATCAGGCACTTCTACACTGCACTTCTGACTTATTAAACCAGAGTATCGACTATATAGCTCAATCACTGAATAAAGCAGAGGAAAGAGGAGGCGTGTGAAAGACTAAACAGGATGTGTCATGGATTTAAGCACAAARAGAGTCTTATAAAGCCATTTAATGCTTGTACCTGCTGCAGAACCTCCCAAGCTGGACCCCTCATCCAGTTTCCTCCACACTTGCTGCAAGTGCAGCGTTACAGAAAGATTAATAGTAAGACCCTACTTACTAGTAAGATCTTAGGATTCCCTGGTAACAGCAAAAATGCATTATTCTACTGGAAAAAAAGAAGGTTTACATGCAGAACCAAAGCATTTACCTGTTGGCTTAAGGATATCAGATTCTGGGAATTCATCAAAGTTTGAGGTGTCATCGATGCTTTTAATTTCTATTGAAATTGCAGCAGGTCTCTCTCTGCCAAAAAGAGCAGATTCAGCATTAAGATTTTAAAGACAGAGGAAAGCAGGACACAAACACATTCTAATTTTCTTAACAGTCTCCCAGACTGACGGTACTGACTCTTAGCAAACTTGCATGGAGGCCACACTGCTCTCACCCACACCTAGCAAGGAGCCAGGGCTCCTCCCATGCCAGTCAAGCTGCTGGTTTCTGCTGAACACGACCAGCCTTGGGGAGACGATACAGAAGAGCAGCTGCCTTTTCTGCCAGGCGTCTTACCTGATGTGCTCCCAATCAACCCCTTCAAAGAACAGGTTACTCTTTATTTCCTCCACACCAGATGCACCAATTCTGTGCTCCCATTCACAGCAAAATCTGGGATGGAAGGAAGAATGAATATGAAGGGAGAATGAAAACAAAAGCATTCCATTTAGAAATGGAACAGCTTTCTGAACTGATGCTCCTACAGTTTCTTAACAACCTCTAAGTGGAGAAGGTTAAGAACTCCCACTTCAAAAACAACATGCAATTACAAGCTGCAATTATGATGCAATATTTTTCACAACAGGATCATGTGTCTTTTGGGGGCCAGCACAGAACAGGAAAACATATAAAGCCTAACAAGCTAGACGTTTATATTTTATTCCTGAGAACAGATTAGTGAACAAAAATACTAGGTGCATGGATGGGAAAAAAATGAAGAAAAAAAGAGAAGAAAAAAAAAGTGAACAAAAATCAGCATGCACTGGGTTATGTTTGTATGCTCCAGTGCATGCAATGATGCAATGGCAAAGTGGGTGCTATGTAATGAAGCCAGCTCTGATAAACAGATGTAATCCCTTCCAAGAGAAGTTCTCAGGGAAGCCAAAGAGCAGGAGCATTCAGATTTTGCAGAAGTAGCAGCACTTACAGGGGAGCTCCTTTTAGCAGAGCTCACTCAGGGCTCCACTAAATGCACTCCAAGACACAAACGTATCTGATTTGGGAGTTCAGCAGTTGATGCGTGTGAATAACAAACTAAGTAGCACTCTTAAGCATATTTTTTTTAGTGTGAAACTACATATGGGAGGTATTTAGTACAGTTTGCATGATAAGGAAGTTAGTAATGTATTAACTGGGAGACCATATGACTGGCACCTTAAAATAAGATCCTTTGCTTTATCAGATATCGGAACTTCTGGAGGGAATGTGAGAGTCTCTTTCCAATTCATTACTTTCTTATACGTTTCTTGAGGAGTCTCAGAACAGAAAGGTGGGTAACCTGAAGGAAAAAAGAAAAAAAAAAAGAGAAAAAGAGGAAAATATCAGCTTTTATAGAGCAAAAATAGTTCTTGTAATTATTAAAATCTATAGTGCWGTAGTTAGAATATACCTCAGAAAAGAGGTATATTCACAGCAAAATTCCTGCTTAAAAATTAGCACTGCCTGTGTCTTACCAATTAGCATCTCATACATGATGACCCCGAGCGACCACCAGTCACAGAGCTTGTTGTATCCAGTCTGCATGAAAACTTCAGGAGCAATGTAATCCGGGGTTCCCACCGTAGAGAAAGCCTGAAACAAATTCCTTCAGTTATATACTTTTCCAAGAAAATTGGCTGCTATGGAACTAGGAGCTTCTGCAAAAAACAGTAATTTTGAAGACCCCCCCCCCCCCCCCCCCCCCCAGATTTTTCTGTTCAATCTTTAGCAAAGCTGTTTAGAGCCTTCAAGATATTTCAAAGTCAAATGTTCACGTGAAGGAATCTGAAGGCCTTTTTTTTTTCAGAAAAATAAAAAAGGAAAGTTATCATATATGCAATGAGAATAGGCCACTAACCCATTTTTATACTGAAAATGGCAAGAGTGGGTAGCTTTGCCTAAAAGGTAAGCAGAGAATATTTCCCAACAGGTGAGGTGTGCTTACCAACTGCCGTCTATTTCTCTTCCAAGTTTCTGCTTTTCTCTTGGAATTCATGTTCTGGAAAGCTAAAGCAAAATGAAACATGTATGTGACTGCATCCTACCGGTCACTTCACACACAGTTTTACTTGCAAACCACTGCAGAGCTTAAAATCTCCTTCCCAACATCAATAAAGTAGCCAGGTCCTAGATAAAACTACCCAGGTTGTGTTCAGCTGTGCCAGGAAGAGGTTACTCTGGTGCTCATCACTGGCTCTCGTGGCCAAGGTTGCCAGATGCTAGAGCTATTTGTGGAACACCCCTTAATTCACCATCTTGATGCACAAGATAAGCATCAYTAAGCAGAGATGAGCTAGTAAAGCTGCCCTTGCTCATTTTACCTACAGGGCACCTCCAGAAGATCAAAGTGGTCACCRCCCTCCAGCAGAAAGTGGCAGCTAACAGTTAAGAGCAGGCAYGGGATGCAGACTCCTCCAGCAGTGCATAAGGATGCAAAGAGCACATCTGTCAATATCCCAAACTCACCAGCAACTTCCAAACCTCAACTGCAACACACGCATATTTGAGTAGTTTTGATAAAACGCTATCAAGACGTCCATCAGGGAGCCAAAAAACACTTCAGGATYAAAGTTAATCTCCTTGAGAAAACATCTGAATGTTCAAAGAGACTCTGATCTCACTTGTTAATTCAAATAATGCACAAAATACTGCTAGTATCTACCACGTCACACTTCAGTTTTTATTTGAAGTTTATCACACATGGTGAGGAGAGCTACAGCAGAACGCAATTTGACAGAAAAACTTTTGGAAATGCAGACGTCAAGCAGTTAAGTAACTGTTTTGTACTTAGAAATGTTCCACCTGAGTTTGCCCTGTTCAGCTATGTGTTTAGCTAATTAGACAAAGATTTTTTTTAAGTGCTAGCTATATTTATATAAATGACATTCCACCATAACTGCTTCACAATGGAAATTCACTGAGAATTCAGGAATGTACACTTTGCATTTGTTAAAGAAACTAGTGATTTCTAGGAAGATATTTTACAGAAAATCAAAACTACACCTTAAGGTACAGCCCTGATTATTAGACACTGTCTGCAGCCTTCTGAGCTCACRCTAAAATGATGTTTATCATTTTCAGGCCCCAGCAGCAAGCACACAGCTGTTGCTTCAGAAGGCAGATAACTTACTGAAGTCACTGGGAAGACTGTGGTTCAAGTTCCTGTAAAACTCTGTTCTGTGAGCTTTCTTTAGTCCAGTGCACAGCCCGAAATCTGAGAGTTTCACGTGGCCCTAGAGACAAAAAGGCCCCAAACACAAAAGCAATGTGGGATGTTAGCATAATGAGTATATTTTCCTACTGCTTCCCCTTCATTTTGTATAATAAGTATGTGCAGAGTTTGGCTTTTCTTGATTCTGTGTCTGCATCAAGTCTCAGGCTAAAACAAGCTATTAATCCTTTCTTCCCTGCTACACAGAAGTCCAGCAGCTCTTTACTTCTTTTCCAAGAAACCTCTGCCCTTGCAAACTGCAGACWGCTCTATACCCAGGGCTGGTGACTGCTTCAGACTGAGGGTAAATGTCTCCAGAGGGAGCTCTAGTCCCTGGCTTGGGTATTGACACCACTGGAGAGGAGGAAGAATCACCTTGAGGTCAGTCACTGGATCTGTCCTAGTGCATAATGCAAAGCCACACTCGGTCTGTGGATTTTTTTTCTTCTCAATTTAAAATTAACATCATTTTTCAAACCCTGAATGTATCTGCAGCTAGATGGACACATACTGAACTAAAACAGTAATTCAAAAACGGCATTATTATCTGGCTAACAATAAAGTGCAAGTATTCAGTGCTGGCAAGTTCTTTCCAAAACACTAAATTTTAAGCAAACTCAGTCAGCAATAGGGAGATAATGAAACAGGCAAGCTTTCTGCAACTACCTGCAATATACATTTTGGGGCAATCGAGTAACTTGACCAGCCTTCCAAAACATGTCCTTATTCTGGGAGAGGATGGCTTGCTTTCAGGCCCAGTGATGCAGTAAGCTGTATCCTTGGCATTTGCTCATAATCCTCTGCGCAATAGTTGGGAAGCATGTGCAGGGCAGAGGCGAGACCGAAAGGAAACATCTTGACTAAGAGGGGAGAACTGAAACTGACTGTATGTTTTAAACTGCAGCTGAAATGACCCAAAATAGCTGAAGCAACTGTCACAAGAAAATTAATCATAAGTGAGGACTAATACAAGCGATGGTGGAGTGGTCAGACTTTTATGGCAGAGATGCCTTCAAAGGTCAGGAGGAAGCAAACTACGTAAGAAGCATCGACTCCTTTCACAATCCTGAACACTAGTTAAGGTCAATATAAAAAACTAAAAGACTTATTTACTGCTACCAAGTGGTTAGTACATACCTTGCTATCCAAAAGGAGGTTGTCTGGTTTGATATCCCGATGGATAAAACCCAGCTGATGAATAGAATCGATGGCGAGCACCGTCTCAGCGATGTAGAACTGTGTCTCTTCCTCCGTCAGGGTATCCTTCTTCATCAACAGCGTCATCATATCACCTAGAGGCCAGCAAACATAAATGCAAATTAACACATGAGCACCAGTCTCACTAATTTTGAAGATACATAAATGCAAATTAACACATGAGCACCAGTCTCACTAATTTTGAAGATATGTTACAAAGAAAATAACTAAGCTATTAAGAGTTGAATTTCATATATATATATATATATATAAAAAAAAAATTGTAAATACAGTTACCCAGCACTTATGTGACTTAGCAGAAGTATTATATTTTGCTTTGAATCAGTGTAGGTGGACAGGGCTTGAGTAGCCTTGAAGTTCTAAATTATCAAAAAGATGAAATAAATACCTGTACAGAAACATCCCTCAAAAAAGAGCCAGCTGTAGACAGCTACCCTTGACTGCCTAACTGGATCTCAGATTAAAAAGTCTATACTTTTGGCTACACAGCTGCTCCAAGAAAGCCGGCTAATAGTGAAAGGATAGAAAATGAAAAGCTGGTTATGGGAAAGGATAGAAAATGAAAAGCTGGTTATGGTTCTGTGGGTTGCCATCACACTGTAAGGATGGCTCGCAGAATATGAAGGTCAAGCATCAAGCACCTGCAGCAAGCAGACAAGCAGGTAACCTCAGGTTTGACCCAAAAAGAAGTTCAGCACCTTGACTCCAACAAGCAGAAAGCTTTAGGGGCAAGTTGCTTCTTCACAGAGTAACGACCAATACAAACAGTGCTCTAGTCTCAGTAATAAAAGACCAAGATTTGTAATTCTGAGGTTAGGCCTGCACAGAACAAAAGGAAAAATATATTTTTTTTATTTCAGGTAATTTACCTCCAGGCAGGAACTCCATGATAAGGTAGAGGTTTAGCTTATCCTGGAAACTATAGAACATTTTCACGACCCACAAGCTGTCTGCTTCCACTAGAATGTCCCGCTCTGCACGAATATGGCCAACCTGGAGATATAGATATGCATTTGATTAATTAAAAGCCTATGGTTTACTTGATAAATGCTTTTCATAGATAATTCATCTTGAAAAGCATTACACATTGAAAATACAACTGTCAAAACTTCTGCATGAGAGCAGAAACCTTCAAAGCATTAAGAGGTTAACCGCTCAAATATTTTCAGGTGATAAAACAGCATAAGCCCTTTGAAAATGGGATTCACAAAGCATGTTTTTGACACCAGAAAGGTGAGCAGCTTTGGTCCAAAACACAATTTATTACCATGTGAAAGATCAGGAGACAGGAAACATAAGTTACAGAATTCCGAGAAACATATGGTTGATTACATAAACAGGTTAATCCTATATACAAAAATATCCTGKTTTTTTTTCCCCCCCGATCTTTCAGCCGCTAGCTCTATTGGAAGAAATATGTCCTTCAATTATAGTTTCACCCTACTGGCACAGATTCATACCAGAGCATTTCTTTGGCACAAAGCTCCTGTGTGAGGAGACAGCTGCTTTTTTTTTAAACAACTACTGCTTCTATAAATGAAAAATGCAGTAATATTTGCATTCCCATTTTTTTCCATTTGTGACAAAGAGAACTAAAAAATAAAATATAAAGAGGCTTGAGAAAAGCCACAAGACGTGGCTTTTTCGTGTTCTCTTCCCTCAATAGGAAAAAATGACCAACAAATGGAATCAGCACAAGTTTTTGCTAGGAAACATGGGCTAGGGGCATCCGTTCCTCCTCTCCACACACCACAATCATCTGCCAAAGTCATTAAAACAAAGATGGTAACGTTTCTACTTAATATGATTATTCACCTGCTCTTTTTCAAGCATATCAGCTTTGCGCAATATTTTCATTGCATAAACATGTCCTGTATCTTTCTTCTGGACAAGTCGCACCTGAAAAATATGCAAAAATTTGAGTCAAATACACCATTAAGCACCACAACTATTCATAAAATTGAATATTAAGCCCTTAAAACAGATATTTGGCTTCTCTTTTTGCAGGAGTATCAGACTGCTAAAACCAAGCATTACTTAGCGCATAGTAACGGTGTGCAAGTTCTGTTAATTCTAGGACACCAAATCATTTTAATACAGATGACACATTCAGCAACCACTCAGCTAAATTAGATGGCCCAAAGCTGCTTTCCCTGAAAAAGGCCACCCCAAAAGAAGTGACCCTTCAGTTCTCACAGTTCTGTTCTGTGAGAACTGTGAGAAAGTCAGAATTCAAAATACACTGACCAACTTGCCTTTAACTTACCTCTAAGCCCTTTTCAACAGTATTAATGTTCATTTAAAGCACAGTCTTTAAACCAGCATTGATTAGGCATAAAAACAGAAGCAACTATTAAACTAAAATCAATCTGCAAGCATTGCAAAATTTATCTTTGATTTACATAAACTATTAAGTCTTCAACGGGTATCAGTGCCTTTCCAAAATACTCCTCTTCTCTGGATTTACCTCTCCAAATGCTCCTCTGCCTATTACTTTTAAGGACTCAAAGTCTTCCAAACCCAGCCTTGTTCTCTTCAGACGAAGAAACTCCGTCTCCTTCTGTGCGTGTGCTGACCTCCTGATTCTCTTCTGGAGTTCACAAAAAAAAAAGAGGCACAGTGAGAATCCTGCAGTTAGGTTCCAAACAGGTAACTCCAATCTAAGTCAAGACACTAGATCTCCATTTATAAAAGAATATCTCTTGGGTTATCTAATCATTAGAATCATTTTTCTTATTCATTACCTCTTCATCTTTTAAGCCTTCTTCTTCCATCATTTGTTCCAGCTTCTTTTGTCTACAACAGGGGCAGAAATTAGAAGAGGTTAAATCTTTAATTTTTTTTTCTTAACTCCATGCACATATTCAACATCTCTGGCTGTGCTGCTGTGAAAAGGTGTAATGCCAGCAGGTAATAAGTTTAAGAGACCAGCTACACAAATGATTTTTAAGAATCTAACCATACAACTTTACTGTTGTAGCTCTATCATCTCTAATACCAAACATTTAAACCTGACTGCAATTTCATGCATCTTATTCAAAATATGTTTTCGCTGTAGAAGAACATAAATTGAAGAGATCTGAGTTCAATTCTTGGCCTTCTCTTTGACAGCCAAGCAAGTCACTTAAGGCCAGAGCCATATAAATATTTAAGCATTGAAGTCTCATTTATTCCCAGGAGAATTAAGCTGCATAAAACCTTCGTGGATCTGCATTTCTTTGTAGTATCTCTGCATGCCAAGCTCACTATATGCAGAGTGGGGAAAAAAAAAAAAAAAAAGTTTCTCTCTACTTCCTAATGCTTGAGATGCTCAAAATACTTACAAAGAAGGAACATGTCAGTACACATTCTCCCCCTTAAAGACTATTTTCTGGAATCAGAGAGCAGTACTCATAACACAAAGCAAGAATATATTAAGATATTAAGATAAAGCAATTCATTAAATCAGTAATCTTTTTCTTTTTTTCCCCTCTTTTCTCTCATCATTTAGGACCTGGAGAAATTGATATTTATTTCTAAATTGCTGCTTCCTGCCACTCCTGAATTTAGCAGGCATTCCATTCAAGTTGGCTTTGCCAGCTCTAAGTCTGAAAGCAAAGGAATTCTGATTGTGGCCTACATCGCAAGTTGAGAATATATCACAAGTCCCAGTACTACAATTTGAGGGTATTCGGCAAATTAGAAGGTTCCAATTAAAGAAAATCAAATATAATACATCTCTCTTCAATCATTTATTAGGTTTGGACTGATTTTTCAAGAGATATGATAAATTCAGCTAATTCACAGGCAAGAATTAAGCACGAAATGACATTAAATGACATCCACAGAGCAATCGCTCATTGCTTCTGAGAAGATTAATCTAGATTAATCTTCCCTTATCAGCTGCCTCTGTCACACTGTACAAACTGATGCCATAAGAGCCATAAAGGGAAGAAGTAATAGGATGATTCTAAAGTTAGTTTCATGTGACCAAATGTACACTTTTTAAAACTTCATGACCATCATCTCCCCTTTGCCTCTGCAAGAATGTTTCAGATGATTTCAGCAAAGACTCAAAAAGCTCCAGGCGAAACTACAATTTCTGTTGTTGTTTTGGACGAAGACAGCAAATTCAGCTAACATTTCTTTTSGGCTCTTAAACCATTTGGAAAGGAAGCAAGAAAGGCTTTTACCTCATCTCCCGTTCTTCATGCTGGGCAATGAGATTGCTATAGAAATTCTCTAATGTCACCTTTGTCATCGTAACTCGCTCCTTGGTGTGATTGCTCATGGATGAGCAGGGTGTTGGGCCCGTCATTGCCATGGCTGTTAGGAAAGAAAAAGGGAGGAAACATTCRACATGAGAAATTCCAAATAACTTTCCATCAAGATCTGCAATCAGTTAAGGGATGCTGAATCACAGAGGCCAAAGCTAAATTTCAGTATTATCAGCAGAACAAGTGATAACAGTCCAGTTGTCTAAGCTATGACCAAGTATGGAGAAAAAAATCTTACAAAACAAAGGTACAAGTTCCTTTTTCCTGTTTTGAATATTTTTGATCTGAAAATAAGACGGAAGGAAACTTGAGAAACACGATGCCTCAAAACCCACAATTTTAGGCAGTGCTGCAGATGTTTTGCATTTCTCCCAATATTTTCTCCCTATCATTGACAAATACTAAGTCCAAAAACATCACACAAACATCTAACCCAGTTCCTCTCCCTTTTACCTTTGCAGAAATAAAACCATCAGTTGCAAGCTGCCTCCTCTATGGTGAATTTTATCAAAATCCTAAAAGTTATCCTGATAATGGAGTGACTGAGAAAGAAAAAAAGAAAAGCATTTAGTAGTGTAAAATAATAAACACATTCTAGTTTAGGCATTCTGTATTTACACACTGAAGTCTCTTAATATACCAGAGCACGCCAATTCCAGCTTGCAGCACAGCCCTGGGATGTATTTAGAGCCTAATTCTGCTTTCTAAAACACATTCAAATCCAGAGACATCATATGCAAAATTGCCTTTTAGCCTATATTTACCGGTCACAATGTAACTGTAGCAACATAACTGAAGCTGTAACTATTACTAGAAATTGCAGACAAAGGTAGCTTAGACAGACTTCCCCTTTCTRCAATATTTCGGTGCTGCCAAAATTGTTTTTTTCCTTTACTATTTTTGTTTTTAATCTGTAAGGCATCACTGTACATTTACAAATGCCCTTCTTGACAAACCTTCGCTGTTTTGTTTTACACGCCTACAAGTTTCTTCATACAAAGCACATAATGAGAGAAGCAGGTATGAACTTCTGGCTATGCTTTTTAATTTTATGATTTTACGTATGTGCCACAAGAGGGTAGGCAGAGGGTCTCATCCCTCACACATCCCAGGGGAGACGGGGCCAGGGACACGTCGGGTATGGATGAATGTGCTGCCCTGGCTTTTGCTTTCCTAGAAAAGCGAGAAAATTATCTAGCAGAAGCAGCTTTGAGAGAACCTTGAAAAAAAAAAGGTAAAAAAAAAAAAAAAAAAATTCCCCCTTTTTTGGGAGGGTTTTATTCAGCTTTTTGGATAAAAAGGGAGGGCTTGTAAAGTGCAAAAAAGTGCCAAAAAAAAAAAAAAAAAAAAAAGAGAGAGGAAAAAAAAAGAGCAAAAAAGAGAGGAAAGAGAAAGTCTCGACTGAGAGGGAACGGAACCAGCTGCGCGCTCCAGGTGCGTTCGCGCCGCGGACGGAGGGGACACGGGCACCCGCGGGGGACCCCGGCCCGCAGCTCCCCCTCCCCCCGACGGCGGCCTGAGGCGGGGGCGGCCCCTGGTTCCCATGGCAACGGGATGGGGGGGCGGCTTACCGGAGCCCCCCGGAGTGGGGAGGGGAAGAGCGGGAGGAGACGGCGAGCTCCCGGTACCGAACCCRGTCCCRGTCCCGGTCCCGGTACTGGCGGGGGAGCGGAGCAGGAGCCGCGGCACTGCCGCCCCCCACGCCGCCCCCAACGGCGACCCGGACGGGACAAGCGCCCCACGGGAGCGCGGCGGCAGCGCGCATGCGCCCCCATCCTCCCGGCCACGCCGCCGCCCCGCCCTCCCCGCGGCCCCGCGGGCGGCGCATGCGCGCGGCGCTTCCCGCCAGCTTGGGCGGGGTGGGAGGGGGAGCGGCTCTTCCGCGCATGCGCAGTGCGCGGGTCACCGTCCTGAGGGGTAACTGCGCTCGCTCATTCCAGAGCCAAGCCTTTCGCCTTAAATTAGTTTGTGCACCCCAGCTCAGCCAACTCTTTGTATAAAACAGCTTTATTCTTAGTGTTCTGGTGCTTCCCAAGCTCTGTTTTCTTAGCGGTATGTGAAATTGCAGTTTCACTGCAGTTTTGAGTGGGTACCATGTGTAAGGCTCTGGAAGAGCATGGACACATTCCTGCGAGGAGAGACCTGGCCTGGAACAAGGACCATCCCAGCCTGCACTGAGCTAGGGTTGAGAATCTTAAATATTTTTCCAGTCTCAATGGTCAGTAAGTAATGGGCAGGTAACACAGTGCATTTACAATTTGCAAAGATTTCTGCTTGTGTGTTAACAAAAGGAATTTTACTTCATTTATATTGCTGTAAAGTACAACTACAATGCAGTGTGAAAGTTTTTATTAATATTACTTTCAAGTGTTAACTGCTTAAGTACATGAAGATTTCTTGAGTACAAAAGATACAGCTGCAAAATACACTGCACGTGCTACTGAGGTCCAGCAGTGGTAGAGAAGATTCAGGAATTTAAGTGCCACATATAGTCCCTACATGATGGGAGTGCTGATATATTCATAACACAAGAGATTTAATTTCTGACAGACTGATTTTTGCGATTAAACTGTACCTTGCTTTACAAGACAGAGCTGGTCGGTTTGACATGAAAGGTGAAGAGCAAACCAAACAGCTCTGTGCCATCTGTTTTTCTTTCAGCAAACCCAAGTAGCTTCATGAAGTTGGTTTTCCACCTAGAGAATGTGGAAAGCTCTTTAAGAGGGTTTCACAGGGGAAAGAAAAGAAAAAGGACATCTTAAAAAGAAAAGCTCAGATATTGAGGCTGGAAGCTGATTCTTAACACTCTTCCATCAGTAGAACAAGGTGAATGTGGCTAGGATTAGTGGGTATCAGCTGCTAATTTCTACTTCCCTGGCCTCACAAATGTTTACCTCCATCCTAGAGAGAGATGAAGGACTTCCTAAAACATAAATGCCTAGAAAGGAGCAAAATAATAAACCTGAGAGTCTGAAGTCTGATGAAAGTTATTACTAGGGTAAAAGATGGCAAAAGGTCAGGCAGGATGGACCTAAAAGAGAAACTGTATTAGGAGCTGCTGTTTCTTTAGGAGGCAAAACATGAGGTTGCGAATGAGCCTATGAATATGCAGATTAATGAACCAAACTTCCTGCTACGCCTGGACTATAAGAGCTGCCACAATATTAAGATGGTAGTAAAAGACGGGGAGGACTCTGGCATAGAAGTAAGTGTTTCTGGGCTGTGAAAAATCACCCTGTCCCCAATCACACTATTCAGATCACCTGCTACGAAGGGAATTGGGGTCTTTATGAGACTTTCAGCTCTTCAGGGGTAGGTAATGGAACAAACATACATGATTTTTCTTTTGCATTAGAGCTTTTCCTCACAACACCACATATCTAAAGCAACACACTCTCTGAGCTAGATTCAGACTAGTGGGAGAAGTCCAGTTGCTGGGCACTAGGGTTTTTCTTGCTGCCTAGTTTGGAGGAGCTTAAAAATACATGGAGGGTTCCAGTTACCCTTTGGGGTCTACATATATTGAAGTAAATCTGGCTGCTTTAACAGGGGGAAGCCGTGCTCTTTTTCCATCGGTTCCAGCAGCTGCTTCACCAGGCTTGACGTCTCCTCTCTGCTGCTGCTATCGAGCTCTGTGGGATCCCCGCCGCTCTTCTGCGAATCCCATATGGCGTTTGAGAGGGAAACATCCCTGCTGCTGGCGGTGTGCACGCTACCCAGGGCGTTGTGGAGCCACATCAGGCGCTTGAGCCCTTGGAATTCCCTCCCTTTGTCATGCATTAGCTGATGCTCCGTCACTGCTCTCCTGCTGCAACAGGAAGACAGATTACCGTGAATAATAATAATAATAATAATAATAAAACCAAATATAAGCATGGTGACTTTCACAGAATTCTAGAGCTCTGCAGCTTGGCTTATATCCAAATTTGTGTTCTTTTCAGAACTGCAAATACTGCAAGAAAAAAATGTCTTTTCATGAGCTTAATGGTCTGAGATTGTTGTGTTTGCTTCTTTCCTTCCAGGGATGTAAGTCAAAAGAAATTTAATTGAAATCAGTGGTGTTCCTGAAATTAAAACAAATCTTTATTTTCTTAAGACATACCAAAATATTTGAGCCAAATAACAAGTGAGGAAAGCAGACAGATTCAAGGATAGAAATATTTCTTGGATTTCAGGCAGCTTAGATACAGCTAACTCCAGCTATAGGCTCACACTGCAAATTTAGATCTATATGAGACCCTAAACATGGGATTCATCTCTTTGACTTGCACTGAGCATCTTTGCCTGTTTTGCAAGTGTTATTAAAAGCATCAGCTGAGATGTACTGAACATCTGAACATGGGGTTCTTTGGAGTTTGCTTTTTTTTTTTTTTTTTTTCTCCCCATCTAAAATGTAACCAGCCTGATCCTGGACTGCGTAAAGGGGGAGGTAAAACACTACTGCATCAGATGTATGGAATCTTCCTTCGCCTGAGGTTCATGGCAGTAAAAGGAGAATRCAGTCCATTAAACCGAAAGCAAGCAGTCTTTTAATAAGATTAAGGAGAAAAGTGATATTGCTTACTTTTCAATGCCTTGTAATGCTGCAGAACAAGAAAGAAGAATTGCCAGAACAATAACCATCTGCAGAGWTCTCTGGGGCAGGAACATTTTCTCCTCCTCTTCGTTAAATCTGTTTGACAGGACAAGAAGTGTCTGATATTACCAAAACCCCCTTTTTTTCACCTGACAAAATGAATTTCAACCTATAGGCATTAGTAAAAGCAGAGCATATTGTGATACATCACCTCATAACATCATTGCAGCTCATARTATGCAGCAGTAAAATATGAATATATCTCATAGTAAATTTCATAATAAATATTTCTTTCTGGGAGTTATAGATGTCCTTTTCTGCTATTACCTGTTAATATTTTACTTACTTCTATTATCCATTGCCAGCACAGGAGATTGTTTTATTTGGAAATGTTAAGGTGTCTTCTTGATAAAATCTTAGCAGAAATATAACCAAAAAAACACTAGGATTTATACCTTAGAAATGTGTCAGAAAATTCAAAAAGAGCTAAAAMGGGACTATGCAGATTAAGTCGAAAGGTGGACACATCCCTGGAATCTGGACTTGTGCATCTGCAATATCTGACTTAGAGAAGTGAAAATTAGAAAATATAACCATGCAATGATTATTGGCATGTAAGTTATACCCGTATTCAGTTATTGATTTGTTCCTGGCATTGGTATCCCTATACCTACTCATCCTTTCCACCCTTCTGTTTATCACTGTGTCTATCATTGAAATTTCTACTTTTTTTTTTTTTACATTAATGAGTGTACCCTGCTTTGGGATTGACTTACGGCTGTCCCTCTGATTACTAGCAAATTGTGAATTAATTGTTACATCAAAACCTAAATGGTTTTATAGCATCAGCTAAACTGTTCATCAAGAATAACCAAGATGTGTTACCACCTGGCAAAAACAGTGATTTCTTGAAGAAATATTTTTTGGTGCAGAAGCAGGTTGGGATAATAAGCAACTCCGCTCAACATCTCCCCAGATTAATTTTGTTTATGCTAATTTGGATATTAAAATAACAATGACTGGATGGAAAGGCAAATTATATATGCAAAAGTAACATGTGATCTACTTACTGTTGATCTTCTAGAGTCTGCGGTGAAGTCCTGATCAGCACAGATGTGTCTCCTTGCTAGTTTTCAAGGGATGGTTCAGTGGCAGTGACAGTGAGTGTCTTTCACCTTTTATACCTTCCCAGAAAGCACGGAAACAAAAGAAATGATCTCTACAGCATTTTGTGACTAAGACCTTTCCTCTTGTGTCAGTGAAATGAGACAGCTTCTGAATCCAATCTTGGATTCTAAGATGCTTTAATCATATTGGACTATGAAAAAGATTATAAGTTTGAGGGAAGCGTCTTATTCCTTTGCTGTTTTTCCTGTTTTGTGTTAACTTTTCATTTTAACACAAATCCTCCCCACAATGTTGGAAAGTGAATATTTTATCCTGCTGTTTTCCTGGTGACCAGGAAAAAGGTTTCTGGGATGCAAAACAGGTCTTCCTCCTTTGCTGTTCTCATAGATTCATATAATATAGGACAAAAATGTTGCACATCTGGAATCTAAACCAACAATGCCAATTATTCAGTTAGCAAAAAGAGGCAGTTACTTGCAAAAAAATAAAGATGTTTTAAATGAGATCCCACTGGATTTTAATGTTCAGTACAAATTTAAATGCACTGGTTCAGTAAATTATATGTTTCAAATCTTATAAACTAGAGAGTTATGGAGAAAACTTATCAACTCATTAAACAATCAAAAGCCAAGTAATAGCTCAGGCAAAAAGCCAAATTCTGATAAGCTTTGAACCAGCACCTGAAACCATAGGAGTTAATGCAGTGTGAGGTTTGATACCCACTTTATGGTCTGTAACCAGGGTAATTTCAGAGTCATGTAGATACCCTGACCATAAAGATGGTCCATTAGGCTGAACCGCTGGTCTGTTTAAACTGACCACTTCCCATTTGTGAATGTGAATATGTTTGTCATTTCTGAGGGAAAAAAAAAAAGGCCTGGAAGGATTGAAGAAAAGTTATCATTTATGGCAATTTTAAA